GCACGTACTTCCAGCCTACGACTCGTAACATTGTGAGGAACCATCTACAGCAGCTTTCCAGTTTCTCACATCTTGAAAAGCAAACTACCTAACGCACGCCCATTGAACTGCTTGAAAATAGCGGACATTTAGAGCCCGTCAACGGTGCCTTCAAGCCCGCCGTCGAAAGCCCCCTTTCTCACGCGTGAGTTTTCCACTACTACTAGTAGTAGGGCCTAAGCCATACGGGCCCTACCTGAAAAGCCGCCGAGCTACTATTGTCCATCACCCGCGCGTCAAAAGCCGCTCGGACCCGAATTGTCAAGGGGTTTGCCGTTCATGATCATGTCATAGTAAGTTTCTTGTTATTGTAGCGGATAATCATGGGAGGAGGGGATCCTAGCAAGTGGTTTGCTTGACGCAGTTTTCCCACTTGTCGTGCGTAAAAAGCTACATGCATAGCGTCCTCGTCTTTGCTTTTCGTTCTTGGGTGGCTTGCAGTAGCTCGGGGTTTCGTTTCGAAAGCGCCGCCCCCGGAGGTCCAAGGCCGTCGCCCGGGCTCGGTGTAATTGAAAGCTTTGCTTTGCATGGAAGACACGATACGATCGATGGCCCCGAATCGTATAGCCAGGGACGAGATGCCGCTCATGAGTCAATGCCCGCCTTGAACCAGATGCCAGCTCCGGGAAGAAGAGCATCCGGCTGCTGGAGCCAGAAAGAGAGAAAAATTAGGGGAGGGGGTGTGGGCAAGTTCGAGACTCCCATCGCCATCAAACCATGAACAGGGCCAGAGCTAAGCGGAAGCCCTTCCGGCTCTACTATCCCCTAAACTCCACAAGATGATCACCAAAAGCTATCCACACAAAATCCAGGGGATCTGTCAAGGGACAGAAGCGAAAAAAACAAAAGGGCTTGTTCCGTGATCTGCTGCTAATGTAAGGCCCAGGCGCCTGTCTGTCACCGGCCCGGCTTGATTTGGCACGGGGAAAAGCCTCCACGACGGTGGGCAAAGTCCGTGATTGTTAATTTGTCATTCGGATGATGCTGTCATGCCCGATTCTCTTTTGCTTCTTTCGATTTCATCCACCAATGTCATCGGTCCCTGAGCCAATGCCGGGCGGCTCCGGTCGAGAACGCTCCCCTTCGCTTTTCGGCGCGGGCATCAAGAACTTGTGCTCCAGGCTTGACTGACAATAGCAACACAATACGAGACGCGAGATCTCGCAGGCCTTGTGTGAAGTCTCCGGTCTTTGTCGTCATCCACGCTGCACGGGTCGTCGTCGATATGCCCTTCAGTCATACGGGAGTTGAAGCCCATCTGCAGTTTACACAGATAACGAAGGCCTGTCCACCACGTACGGCACTTTAGCCCTCACATCATCTGCTAAACCCGTCCATGTAACCGCAAGTGTGGGCAAAAGAGAGAGGGCGTGTGCTGGAAAAGGGTTCATTCAGCCTTGACAGGGCTCTAGAGGGGGGCGTGGGCGCTACGATGATCCGGGATTTGCTGTTGTATGTGGCCTCCCATCACACAATCTTTTTCTTCTTTTTTAAACCATGTCTTCTCCACCACCCCCTTCGAGACGGCTACATGGCCTATCAGCCATGTGATCTGGAGCCGCCCCGAACGGTCGATTCCCTGTCGGCTTGGGTTCTGCCCAGGTCCACCAGCCCAGGACAGAAAAAGCATCGGCGATTGCCAAAGAGGGAGGGAGGTCCATGTATTCATGTCTCTTTGTCCTTGTGCCACAATGGATGGACGGGCGTGTCGTAACCAGTGCTGGACAAGAGTAAACGAGAAACGGAATCATGAAGAGTGGGAAGATGAGGAGGGGGAGGAGAACCTTGCCTTGTCTCTTTTCTCAACATCCTGGACAGAAAAGGCCAAGAAGAAAGATGTGTTTTTCACGGAGTATCGGTATAATACCATCCCCTGGCTAACGATGAGAGGAGAGAGAAGAGATCCTATGTACGTACAAGGAGGGGAGGGAAAGGGTAGAAACAGAGTGCTGATGAGTGATGATGCGACCTGTGGCAGCAGGGGAATCGGAACGTGTCCGTGGCAGGCCGGCTCTGGCTCGATCGGTCGACGTACAGATTACAGATCCATTCCAAGGCATGCATCCGATCGCTTGTGTGAATGGAAGCCCGGCGCGGAAGATGGAATAAATACGAGCCATGGGGAATAGCGCCCTCTGCGAGCAGCGGACATGGGAGGGGGGGAGGGAAAAAGAGAGAGGGTCTTGCTTAGCCTCGCCTTGAATTGCCATGCCTTTCATTCTCTCATTAACCAGTCTCGGAAGAGGGAAACACCAGGAAGATGCGTTTGTCTGATGCTATTCATACGCCTCGCCGCTGCTTGAATGGGGGGGACTTGTTGGAGTAGCACAGCAGGGGCCCCCCCGTACGTACGAGGATGATCAGCCTTTGACGCTGGAGCGACATGTCCATACACACACGCCTCTCCCCCCCCCCCCCTTGCTGGTGAGATGAGACTTGATCCCCTGACAGCAATCACCAGCTAGCCCAAAGAGAACAGCACAACCCAGGCCGCATGTACTCACAGTACGGATCGCACGCCCCGTGAACTGTAGCGCTAATCTCGTTCTTCCTGTCGCGCCGCCGCCGGCCACAAAAGAAAGGGACGAAAAGAGAAGAGGCGGGGGGGAGAAGCGATGGCGCGACAGTGGGTGACAGGATGGGCTGGGGCTGGCCTCGTCCCTTTTAGTGCGAGATGAGATACTAGCCAGCGAGATTAATCTCCTAGCCCAACTGGAAGCTGGAGATCTTGCTAGAGGAGATCAATGAACGCGTGGAAGCCTTGTTTGGGGGGGGACTATCTAGCTAGTAGTAGGGCGGACGGGGAGGCGTTTCCGGTGGTGTTAGCTTGGTGGCTTCGTGCAGTTGCTGCGGATCCTCCTCTCTCCCAGGTTGCAGTCTACATATAAGTCCTTCTGGGCAAATTGACCGTCTGTTTACTCCGAAACATGACGATGCCGTTGTTTACGAGACGGGTTACAGGATAGTCTAATCGAAGGAAGAATCCTCTCATCGTCTGTCTAACATGCCCGTGCCAGTATGCCTATGCTTCTGCCTGACAATGGATCTCGACGGCAGTGTATGCCGCATCGCCAGGCCGTTTCTGCGACCCGATCTGCATCCTACGTCCACCCCTTTGGCAATCCTAGCCAGTTGCAGAATCCCAACGGCAACGGCCTTTGACAGATTCCAGAAGCTGTTCGCTGACAAGCCCAGATACGGGTAACCCCTTGGTATCCTCCGCCGAAAAGTCCGTATATGCGGTCTTACACGGGGGAAAGACTCTCAAAGAGATAGCTCCTCGCACTTCGGACGAACTACGATGGCCCCTCCGCAGCTACAAGATCCCGGGGAGCCTCGTAGGGCCATTAGACAGGCCGAAGTCCGCGTGGCTTTGGAGTGTCTGCTTTCCGTTTGGTCTGGATTTGCTGCGTACATTACCCATGGATCTTCTAGCTCCAAGTGGAGAAGCTTTGATGCCGGGGAGATATGGCGGATTTGCCCATGGCTGGCAAGGACTTAGCGCCGAGCCTTAGCTAACCGACAAAGAGAACATCATGGATCCTGGCGATGTTTTCCGCTCTTGGAGTTGTTGCTGGGGGGGCGCCGCTCAAGAGCTAGAGGCAAAGGTGCGTCGACGGAATATCGAAGGGCATCGCGGCGAAATGCCTGGCTAGATACAATCTACCTGCGGTGTGTGGTGATTTGGACAAGGTCCTCGTTCCCAGCTTCGGCTTCAGGTTGAGTTGAAGACTATGGACACGCCCGTGATACTTGTCATGCTTCATTTCGCTATACATATATCCGGGGCATTGGATACCTGTATCGGCAAGTGACTCTTTGTTCTTCCCAATCCCTGTTCGTGAATGTGCCTCGCAGGTCGAGGAAGCAAAGATTGTGGCTAGCCGAGCTGTTCAACAAGTCGCAAACAGTTCAGGCAACTCCGGGGTAGTCTGACAGTAACTCGCTTGGACAGTTGCCAAAGGCGTTTGCTGCCTGCGGATGCATCCAGATGCCCGCGCTTACTTCAAAGGCGTCAACCCAGAACCTGTACAGTTTCGCGCCATGCTCTAGAACTCATCTCAATGTCAACAGAGCAGGCATATCTGAATTTACCGGCTCAGCTACGGACCCCCAAAGGGCGGTTCCTCCTGAGCGCGGCTATCATGACGAGGCCCAGTCGTCCAGCTTCTCATCTACCCCATAATGCGAGAGCTGGCGTTGAATTAGACGCCCGTGGATGGCTGGCTTAGCCGCCCGTGTTACACACTTCTTGTATCCCACAACTCCAGCGTCAATCAACCACACTCCCTCCCGAAGCAGTCGACCAAACAGGCTGGAGAAAGCACCGCCCTCCGTCCCCAGCGATTTGCGTTGCCATGAAGCTCTAGCGATAAGCGCGCTGAGGGCGTGCGAACCACCAGACACCATGCCCATTCCCATGCAAACGAGGCGAGCCTTGCCAGGGCCGTTCCTGGATCGCCTGGTGACTCAGTCTGCTCAGGTATCGTCGTATTCCGCTCTCTTCTCGCCAAAATCCCTGCTCGGTACGCCTTATCGCCGGTCGGCTGATGTGCCGGGGAAGCGTGCCGGCAACTGACGCTCGCCTGGGAGACAAGAACAAGTATATTTTGGCAATAAGACGGAAACGCAGCATCTTGAGCAGAGAGAGTCGAGGGAGTTGAACAAAGACTCACCTCGATGGATTGGTAAGCAGAGAGCTGGTCCGTACAAGTGCAGCGCATTGGTACATGTAAGCAGCCGGCTGGCAGGAATGCACCAGCCACACTTGCTCGCGTCCTCAGCCACGCATCTGCTCAACTTCACCCCGGTCACCTCTGTGGCGCTGCGCAAAAGAAGATGACAGACAAGCAGACGGACGATGACTCTCGAAGCTGGCGATCGTAACGGCCAGCGTCGTTGACGGCTATCCGCCATACAAACCAGACCCGCGAAGAGTCCCGCGATAGCCTCAAGCAAAAGCAGCCAGACAAGGAGGCTCCTCCCTCGTCGCAACCGCGGCTTCTATGCTGCCGGCCTTCTTCCATCATCTCTCCTCTCCGATGCGTCCCCTGGCACGTGCCAGCTTGTCCGAATGGTCCTCTCGCCGCATCAACGCCCTTCGAAGCGCTCCGACACGATGATGCTGGTGGCGGCCGCGCTCGCATGGCTGCTGGGGTGCTCGCTGCTGCGGCCGGCGGAGGCCATGCGCGCAGACTATCTGGCCCAGCTGCGGCAGGAGACGGTGGACATGTTCTATCACGGATATAGCAACTACATGGAGCATGCGTTTCCCGAAGACGAGGTGGGTTCCGCTTGTTATATAGATGGGTGCTGGGGACTCTGCTGTGCTTTCGTTCGTAAAGTAGAACTAGAACAGACAGAGCTAACGAGTTCCTCTTCTTCAACATTGCTTATAGCTGCGTCCCATATCGTGCACTCCCCTGACGCGAGATCGAGACAATCCCGGGCGCATCAGCCTCAACGATGCCCTCGGCAACTACTCCCTGACTCTCATAGACAGCCTGTCCACCCTCGCCATCCTGGCCGGCGGCCCGCAGAACGGCTCATACACGGGGCCGCAGGCCCTGAGCGACTTCCAGGACGGCGTGGCCGAGTTTGTGCGACACTACGGAGACGGGAGATCGGGGCCCTCCGGCGCTGGGATACGTGCCAGGGGCTTTGATCTCGACAGCAAAGTCCAGGTCTTTGAGACCGTCATCCGAGGCGTGGGCGGCCTTCTGAGCGCGCACCTGTTCGCCATTGGGGAGCTGCCCATTACTGGATACGTGCCGAGGCCGGAGGGAGTCGCGGGCGATGACCCTCTGGAGCTGGCCCCCATCCCGTGGCCCAATGGATTCAAGTACGACGGCCAGCTGTTGAGGCTCGCCCTCGACCTCTCCGAGAGGCTGCTCCCCGCGTTTTACACGCCGACTGGCATTCCGTATCCCCGGGTCAATCTCCGCAGCGGCATCCCCTTTTACGTCAACTCGCCTCTCCATCAAAACCTGGGCGAGGCAGTGGAGGAGCAGAGCGGCCGTCCTGAGATCACCGAGACCTGCAGCGCCGGGGCGGGAAGTCTGGTGCTTGAGTTCACCGTCTTGAGCAGACTCACGGGGGACCCCAGGTTTGAACAGGCCGCCAAGCGAGCATTCTGGGAGGTCTGGCATCGCAGGAGTGAGATTGGCTTGATTGGGAACGGCATCGACGCCGAACGGGGGCTGTGGATTGGTCCTCACGCCGGCATTGGCGCGGGCATGGATAGCTTCTTTGAATATGCGCTCAAGAGCCATATCCTGCTGTCGGGCCTCGGCATGCCCAACGCCTCCACGTCGCGCCGGCAAAGCACGACCAGCTGGCTGGACCCAAACTCCCTGCACCCGCCGCTGCCGCCGGAGATGCACACTTCCGACGCCTTCCTCCAGGCGTGGCATCAAGCTCACGCCTCGGTCAAGCGGTACCTGTACACCGACCGCAGCCATTTTCCCTATTACTCAAACAACCACCGTGCCACGGGCCAGCCGTATGCCATGTGGATCGACAGCCTAGGCGCCTTCTACCCGGGGCTTCTCGCCCTGGCCGGCGAGGTGGAAGAGGCCATTGAGGCGAACCTTGTCTACACGGCCTTGTGGACGCGATACTCTGCGCTGCCCGAACGCTGGTCCGTCCGCGAAGGCAATGTCGAGGCGGGCATCGGCTGGTGGCCGGGGAGGCCCGAGTTCATCGAGTCCACGTACCACATCTACCGCGCCACCCGAGACCCGTGGTATCTGCACGTCGGCGAGATGGTCCTCCGCGACATTCGGCGTCGGTGCTACGCGGAGTGCGGCTGGGCCGGGCTCCAAGACGTTCAGACGGGCGAGAAGCAGGACCGCATGGAGAGCTTCTTCTTGGGAGAAACGGCAAAGTACATGTACCTGCTGTTCGACCCAGATCATCCACTCAACAACCTGGATGCCGCCTATGTCTTCACCACAGAGGGCCATCCGCTCGTCATCCCCAAGAACAAAAGGGGCAGTGGCTCCCACAGAGAGGGCGCTGCTCGCAAAGCCAAGAAGAGCAGAGACGTAGCGGTCTACACCTACTACGACGAAAGCTTCACCAACTCTTGCCCTGCCCCTCGGCCTCCTTCGGGGCATCATTTGGGAGGGTCGGCCACCGCGGCCAGGCCGGACTTGTTTTCCGTTTCTCGGTTTACCGATCTGTACAGGACGCCCAACGTCCATGGGCCCCTGGAGAAGGTGGAGATGCGAGACAAGAAGAAGGGCCGCGTGGTCCGATACAAGGCCACCTCGAACCACACCATCTTCCCATGGACTCTCCCCCCAGCCATGCTGCCGGAGAACGGCACTTGCGTCGCTCCCCCGGAGCGCGTCATATCCCTGATTGAGTTCCCGGCCAACGACCTCACCAGCGGCATAGCGTCGCGGTTCGGCAGTCAGCTATCGTGGCAGACGCATCTGGGGCCGACGGTCAATATCCTAGAAGGACTGAGGCTCCAGCTCGAGCAGATGTCGGACCCGGCCACGGGACAAGACAGGTGGAGGATCACGCACATTGGCAACACACAGCTGGGGCGCCACGAGACGGTCTTCTTCCACGCAGAGCACATCAGGCACCTCAAGGACGAGGTGTTTTCTTGCCGCAGAAGGAGGGATGCCGTGGAGATTGAGCTGCTCGTCGACAGGCCAGGCGATGGTGGCAACAGCACGCTTGCCCCGTCTGATGATGATGCTGACGTAGCAGAAGAAGCAGAGGAAGAAGAAGATGGCATGCCGGACAGCGACGATGTCGCACTCGACGACGCGGAAACGCTTTCTACCGACTCGCTCTTCCAATCCCTCCTCCGCGCCGTGTCCTCCGTCTTCGAGCCCGTCTACACAGCCATTCCCGAGTCCGACCCCAGCGAGGGCACCGCCAAGATCTACAGCTTCGACGCCTACACGTCGACGGGCCCCGGCGCGTACCCCATGCCGTCCATCGCGGACACGCCCCTCCCCGGCAACCCCTTTTACAACTTCCGCAACCCGGCGTCCAACTTCCCCTGGTCGACCGTCTTCCTCGCGGGCCAGGCCTGCGACGGCCCGCTCCCCGCGTCCGCCCCGCGCGAGCACCAGGTCATCGTCATGCTCCGCGGCGGCTGCTCCTTCAGCCGCAAGCTGGACAACATCCCCAGCTTCTCGCCCCACGACAGGGCGCTGCAGCTCGTTGTTGTCCTCGACGAGCCGCCGCCGCCCGCCAGCAGCCAGAGCCAAGATAACGACGACGATGATGCCAAGGTCGACGACGACGACGACAACAGGGGCGACCTGCCCCGGCCGCTGCTCGACACGGAGCAGACCACGCCCAAGGGCATGAAGCGCCTGCACGGCATCCCGATGGTCCTCGTCCGCGCCGCGCGGGGCGACTACGAGCTTTTTGGGAATGCCATTGGCGTGGGCATGAGGCGCAAGTATCGGGTCGAGAGTCAGGGGCTCGTCGTGGAGAATGCGGTCGTGCTGTGAAAAAAAAAAAGGGGGGGGGAAGCCCACAAGAATGTGTTTTCATTTTGTTTTCTGTTTATAATTTTATATCCAGTATGTACTATATTCTATAGCATTTTACATATTACGCATGCATATATATATATATATAGCCCGTTCAATGAGTTGATGAGGAGGAAGTTGCATCATTGAGGAATAGGATATCCCTAGAGCTTTTGCATAGATAGAGTTCACGACAGCAAGAGACTGAAGTCTGCTTCAATAGTGTTCTGGTCATAGTGTATGAGTTTCCCCTTGGTGATGGAAATGTGTTCTTCCCTGTTGAATTTGTTGTTGAAAAATGAGCCTCAGTAGTCTCCTAGGGTTGAACCTTTCCATTTCAACATTACCGCATTATAGACGTGAAGCCCTGCGGGAAACCAATCATCGTGCGGGGGAAGGACATGATGATATGCTCACCCAAACAGATTGTCATTTCGAACGTCCGGGAGAGCAAAAAAAAGAGAGCAATGAGGTAGATGGAGAGAAATATTCAATTGCAGGTAGAAAGAGCCCCTAGCCGTGATTATTAGATACCCACCCTATCCCAACAGTTTTCATCCAAACATCATGTTTTGTATCCCCCAAACCCATGGCGTGCTCTCTTTGTCATTGTCATCTTGCTCCTTTTTTTTGTCCTCGTCTACTCCAGATTCCGTAACAAGAAGTGCGGGGGGCGGTCTATATATCATTGTATATGTAGTGTGTAAAAACAAAAGTAGGGATGAGAGCTGTCGTGAAACAGACAAGACAAAGGCATGGCAACCCCACTTCCCAGTTCCCGGTGAGAGAAGATCGCTTTCCATAGTCTATTGGTTATTTGATTGTAAGATTTCGCAAGAAGCCCCCATGATGAGATTTGAATAGAAAATTGAAAACAGAAATGTGAAATCGTTTTTTTAAAATCCAAAAGGAAAAGCCCCAACAAACAACTTTTTGATGTATATGTAGCGTGCCGAGCGAGGAGCACAGGACTCAGATAATCACGACGCCGGCTGAAGAGTCGTCCCGTCTTGGCGCCTCTAGTCGATTCGAGCATCTAGGAATGGCAATGCTTCGTCGGAGTTTGTGGACGCTTCCAATGGGCTGAGGCCAGCGGCCATGAGGTGAATTGATATCCAATCGTGTCGTCTTTGTGCTGAATGGCGCCGCTTATCGAGAGAATAGGAACACGAGGCCCTCCTCTCCTCCGTCTCTGGGGAGAATTTAGGGGTTCTCGAGGAGGATAGTAGTAGGAGCGCCTCCGAGCTTCTCACGACCATTGAGGCCGGGAATCTCGAGAATGAAAAGGTAACCAACGACCTGACCCTTGAGCTGGTGAACAAGATCCGCCGCCGCCGCCGCCGAACCACCTGCAATTCCAAAGTCAGCTCTCTGATGTCTGTTGGAGGAAAGTTTTACATGGCACCACCGTCTGGATCATGGAAAGAGACTCACCCGTCGCAATAATATCGTCAACAATCAAGACCTTCTGCCCCTCGCGGATGGCATCCTCCTGCATCTGGAACAAGTCCTTGCCGTACTCCTTGACGTACTCGGCAGTGACGCAAGGGCCCGGCAGCTTGCCCTTCTTGCGAACGGCAGCGAAGCCGACGCCGAGGCGCAGGGCCAGGCCGGGGCCGAAGAGGAAGCCGCGGGCGTCGAGGCCAACAATGATATCGGGCTTGGTGGCGCCAAAGGACTGAGAGATTTGCAGCTCGAGGGCGGACAGCAGCGTGGCGTGGGCGTCCGGGTTGGCGAAGAGGGGCATGATGTCGACAAAGTCAATCCCCGGGATGGGGAAGTCGGGGAACTGGCGCAGCGTCTTGCGCAGGCTTATCTGTGCACTGGCGAGTTGGGCGGCGGCGGAGGAGGCGGCGGAGGGCTGTCGTCCCGAGGCATCTTGGCTGGCGGCTGAGGAAGAGGGAATGTCCTGAGGCTCTGTGGAGGCGGACATTGTGAGGAGAGGAAAAGGGGGAAAGGAGGAGAAGAAGAGAAGAAGGAAGAAGGAAGAAAAGAGGAGGTGAGCGAGCGAGCGCGAGAGTCAGAGGAGGTTAGGCAGACAGGATGCAGAGAGCAATAGGAGCGAGACTTTCTGTCTGGGGTGGTGTGAATTTTTTGTTTTGGGGTGGCGGGATAAGCCGAGATAGCACGAAGCGGGAATTGGGTCTTTTTTTTTTTCTCTTACCCTTTCTTTTTTTTCTTACTGTATTCTAGTAGGTCTTTTGCCATTTGGCGGGCAGCACAATGAACAGCGCGCGCGGAAGGAGGGGACAGTGTGTAACTGCCTCCTGATTATACTTTTTCCATTCTAGGTATCCCGTTCAGTTCTTTCCTCCCATAAGATAGTTCTATATCTACGCAACGTTCTTGCTCTTTACCATCAGGTTCAAGCCCGTCCCGCTGTCTGTGTCTCCTTCCACAAGCCTCATCATGGTGGGGGTAAACCGAAAAATTCACAAGCTGGCAGTCGCAGCCCAGCGCAAACGGAGGGGGTGCACACAGCAGAGCAGCACCGCGCAGAGGGGGAAGGCACGATTTGATGCGATACGATACGATGGTCGCTTGCAGCAGCTTGTGTATCAGAAACATTAGTCCAGCGCCCCCGATTACCCCGGCGATACCTGACCACCGACCCCGGGGCCCTCCCGCCAGACAGACAAAAGCGGAGGGCCATCAAGTCGCGGGCTGGTATCCAGGCGCTGGGAGCTGCTCTCGAACCCCGGCCGAAACGAGAAATATGGAGTATCGAGTACTGTACGTCGTACATGGACAAGCACTTAGACTTTACGCAATAAGGTACTTTACACAGGCACAAGGCAAGGGAGGCGCAACGTGGCCATCACAAGCAAATTGCCAGCGACTCACTTGCACATGCGGTGATGCTGCCACTGCAGCCAAGCACGAGGTACCTGTACTGCATGGCCGGGGACTTGGAGGTGCTGATACGGCGTACAGGTACAGCGTGGCGGTACCTTACAGCTTGGACGTACAAGGGACAAACACCGAGTAGAGCCCAACAACCCGAACTTGACATGCTTCAAGCTGCGTGTTCGACAGCGCAATCTCACGTCCAGCGTGTGCCTCCAAGTGTCTCCAACTGTCGGTGAGTTGGTACAAGTATATCGTTTGTTGCTGCTGTGAATATGACTGTTCGTCGCTTTGGCTCCCCTTTGGCTCGATGCTAGCAACGAATGAACTGGGCTCAGCCGCCCGGATAAAATCACTCAAGGTTCCATCTGGTAACCAAGCATCGGGACTACTGTGCGCACTCCTCCCCAAGCCGGCAAAAGGTGCGTGCGCGAGCGCGATAATCACCCTCGTACCTGGTGGTATTCGCAGCAGCAGCAAACCGAGGGCCAGCCCGGCTTATCCTCTGTCTTGCCTGTCGCCTCGTTCTAGAATAGTACCTGCTGTCCTGGCTTTAGCATCCGTTCCATTACTCGTGGCGGTGCATTGGAGCGAGACACTGACACACCTTTTCGTACCTGATAGTAGTACCTCAGTCCCTGTCCTTGCAGGGAGAGAAGCAGAACAAGCAGCTTCAAGTTGAGTTGGCGACAGCATGAAAGCTGGTCCTTGCCGAGCCGGGCCGTTTTTCTGTTGCAGCCCGATCGATAGTATGAGCAGCAATGCCCGGGTGCTCCGTGTGCCCAAGGCAAATCAAGAGCCGTTTATGCTACCGACTGATCCATGCTGTTCCAGTTGTTATACTTCCAAGCAATGTCCGAAGTATACGGGCTACTCGTATGCCATCGATGTTGCGACGCGGGAGAAACTAACGATATGCTACTTGGTACCAGCGTTTGTTGGTGAACTCATGGTGATTTCAAGACTCGCCCCGTCGACAAAAGCCTCCGTATCTGCTCTCGTCCCATCGGACCAGGTTGAGACGGCCGCTACGATCCATCGGCCTCGCAGGCAGCAAATGGATGGCCGCTCCGCTGCCCAGGCGTGAGATTCATTGGCCGCAGAGGCACGGCGCGAAATGATATGCATGTACGCTCTCCCTCCATCGGCCTGCCTTTTAATCGACAGCTGGGGCGCCTGGAGGAGCCACAGAAGTCTCGCCAGTCGCTCTCTTGTTGTCTCACGCTCTCACCTCGCTTCGGCCTGTTTCTGTCCTTGGTGTCGGGCCTGGGTGCCCCCAATCACCGATTTCTCGCCGGTGCGCCGCAGGTAAAGGGTTGCATTGGACCATGTCTTTCGGCTTGGGAGGGCTGAGCACACAACCCACACGTACCCGTACGAGTAGAACTACTTGTATCTACCTACTGAGCACCAGGTATCTAAGTGGCGGTGGTGGTGATGGATGGTGAGGCGTGTGCTTCGTGCGCGATACCCATCATGTCTCTTGTCCAGGCTTGCATGCATTCAATCAGCCACATCAAAGGCCACTGCTGCCGTGTCGGTCTGCAACTGGGCATGAGCTTGTCCTGCATCTTGCACACGCACTTCTCACGCACACGACACGCACTCACGCACCCTTCGCCGTCTGATATCTTACCTTACATACGGAGCACACAGGTAGGACGTGCGTGGAGTGCATACATGGCTTGCTTCAATATCAAGATAAGGCTGGCTGGCACGCACATCTGTGTCAAAAGCTTACCCACCTCCACAAGAGAAAATAGCAATCCGTGTTACCACAAGCTTCCCCGTCTTCCCGCCCTCCACGATCACAACCCAGAGATGACTGGCCACTGGCCAAAAAGCTTGACACAAAGGGCCACTGAAAAGATGAGGATGGAAAACCCCCCCCCAAACGCCACTTTGCTCCCGTCATCCGTTTCCCCTCCCCTCCCCTGTGGCACGTTCCTGTCGTAACCGTCGTGCACCCATTACACAATCGATGGCGTGAGGACCCCATGCCGTGCTAATACTGGCACTAGGAGTAGTATTTCCTACTCTCGGCCATTCGCCTTGTGTACGGCCCATGGTAACGCTCGCTTTCCGGCGGCTATATGCTCTCCAAGGTACAGAAAGTGAGTAGGCATCTTGGCATGTATGTATGTGGCTATAAGGTACGGACAAGCAGCCTTATACTATACGGTAGGTTAAAAAGAAACCAATGAGTCAAGCCCAGCAACATTTGTTCACCTAGGATGCGACCAGCCACGCCAAGCCCATCCTCTTACCCCGTATCACCCGCCTATTCGTCCATCTGCCCAGCCATCCATCCCAATACCTCACGAATGGTGCCTTCATTGCCAAGGTGGTTGGCACCAAACAGAAGCAGCAACAACAGCTCCCATTCAGCCTACATAAGGTACTTCCCAAAGGTTACCTCATGTAGCGCCCGTTTTATATGGATATTCACAACATCGAAACTTGTTTTGATTCTACTCTAGCTGTCTGCCGCTCAATGGTTGACGACAATACTTGAAGATTTGTTCGAGTCCGACCGAGGCTCTTGGCGAGCTAATAGAGCAATGAAGCCGATGATATCTGACATCTTTCGCACCCCCACCACTAAACGTATGTATCTGGTCAGCGCAACGGATGGAGAACTCCCATCACCTCATTGCCTCGTGTACATAGTGTACATAACCAACTGAAATTGAACTTTCTCCAGTGCCAGCACGTTAAAAAAAACAAAACACAAAATAACACACAAACAGTGAGAATCATTCTGCCTTGAAATTATAAGTCACCGTGTCCAAGCACCATGTTCACGTAAAACCAAAAGAACAGGGTAAAAGCATCTCGAGTATAGTGCTTATCGATAGTGCATTATGTAATCGCCCGGTAAGGGAAATTTTGCTCCTCCCAAAACCTCAAATCGCATCTCCCAAAGCTGTGACGACATCAACCTCCCGAAAAAAAGAGAAAATTAACTGCGGCCCTCAACATCGCTCACTTTCAAACCTCATAACTCGAGAACAGCCCAAGAAAACACCGAAACAATGTCTTTCCTCGGAATCGGTCGTCCCCAACCCACCTCGGAGCAAAAGATTGCTGCCGTCGAGGGCGAGATGCGCATGATGGCTGACACATACAACCGGTACGTCCCAACCTAACACACACACCCCCTCCTCTCGTTCTGCCCAGGAAAAGCAAAGATTTGTAACTGACAATGGGGGGTGGAAAACAGCCTGCAAAAGACGTGCCAGAAGAAGTGCGTCCCTACCGACTACCGCGAAGGCGAGCTCAACAAGGGCGAGTCCGTCTGCCTCGACCGGTGCACGGCCAAGTTCCTCGACACGTCGATGAAGATTAGCGAGATCATGCAGCAGCAGGGACAGGCCATGGGCGCGGGAGGACCTCAGGCCGGCGGCATGTTCTAAGCGCTGAGCTTTTTGGAAATTTGATGCGGATTTGTTTTGGAAATACATTACGCCCATGTCTCGTTTCTGTTCCATCTCCCGTCGAGAGGGCTTGATTGGGATGAATGGGATTTCACAGATGTCGATTGTACGATTATATGGGAGGTCAAGGAGAAGGGCACATAAGTGCGGTTTTAAACGGGCTTTTGATGTTACGGGATCTCACGGATATAACATGTCATCATGTCAAGATGTATAAAGCTATCAAACAAGTATACTAGGTGCTGCCCAGGTTGCAGCCTCGTCTATCGTGACGAGCACACATCCTCTCTGCGAAATGGTATCTATCCTTTTACAAGAAAGACAAAAAAACAACCTATGACAGATGGAACTAGAACGCCGGTTTCCGTGTATCCCCTATGTATGAAACAGTTTCCAACTCCATCCCAGTTTTTCAGAAAAATGGACGATTAAAGTAGATAGAGCAAAGGAGAAACCGTCGACAAAGAGGTGAAAGAATACAACTCTAGTGCGAGCCATTGTGAGATTCAGACCGGGTGATATGAGGGCCGGTGCCCACGCCGGTCAGAGTCCTCACAAACCAATGCAGCCAACTCTCCGTTTCAAGCTGCTTTTTCAGTTCTTCTGCCCGCCTCTCGACGTCTTCGACCTGCCTCTCAAAGTTTTGGATGCCGTCTTCCACGTCGTTGATTTTCTGTACCAACGCATTGATCTCGTAATCGAGTCGTGCCACGAGGACCTCAATTTCCTTGACGCTCTCGGTCAGGCTGGCGCGTTCTTCGGCCAGCATCCCATCAGAGTTGTACTTGACTCGGTGGTAAATCTCGCTGAAGTGATGGTGCAGGTTTTGTATTTCCACCTTGTCTCTGCCGTATTTGTCGTCAAGAAGCTGTAGAAGCTTGATCTTGTCCTTGACCCAGGGCTCGATGCCATATACGATGCCTTCGATACATTGTGCGAGATGGCGAGCGTTGACCGCTCGAGCTTCAGCATCGTCTTCGTCCTCTGTCTCATCCATGAGGTCGACGAGTTCGTCCCATGTTAACACGGCTTCTTCGGCGTCGCCAAAGGACATGCGGCGTGCCCACCGGTCTTCGTTGAGCACCCGTGCCGTGCATACCTGTCCTATGTCACAGCTGTGACGTCTTGACAGCGCCAGCTGCCGCAAATTGGACCTTTCCCTGATGTGTGGACAAATCGCTTCAACGTCGCTCTCAGCAATGGACGACGGCACGGCCGAGGTCGTTCTCTGATGGGACAACTTGAGCATGTCTGGGCTGAGAATGTCTAGAGACCTGTCTGATTCTCTTGGCCTCCTCTCGTATTCGGACAACCTGGCTGCTTTGAGGTCCGCAGTTGATGAAGGCGAGGACACCGCTGCAAGCCCAGGCAGAGCGTCAGGGTCTCCCCGTCTGATAGCGGAGAGATACTCCTCCGGCTTCCTGTTCCAAGTAAACGCCCGGCTAACCACGGCAGCGGGGCTCGGCGGGATGCTTGGATTCTGATATCCGTTGGCAGCGCCGTTTCCGTTTTCAAGGACATCCTCTTTTGTTGAGATGGACAGGCGTGTGCCGTGACCTCTTCCTCTTGCGCCAACTGCCTCCTTGAAGCGTCCAAAGCCTGACCGAGCGTCGCTCATTTTCCCGGCAACGCTCTTAAACACAGTCTTGTGCAAAGCATCTCTTTCTGTTGGGCCCTCCATCATGCTCATGGTAGGGCGTATAGCGGTTCCGGTATCAGGAGCGAGCAGTTCGTCTTTCCGTTTCATCTCCAGGTCGTCCTCTACTGGCAAGGAATGGGTTCGTTTTCCGGGTTGACTGGCTGCCTCCGCCTTTGGTAGAGGGGAAACCGGACCTGGATCGTCATCATGTTCGGCCTGGCCTACCGGTGTCCGACGCGGCTTGCCATGCCAAAGCCATCTTGGCCGCTCGCCATATACCAAACTGGCAAACTTGTCAATGTCTACGGTCTCGATGTCAGCAAGGCCAGCCTTGTCTTTTCCAGACACCATGTCGATGACAATCTCTCCTCGTTTGCCCCCAATTTCCGTAACTGTCGATTTGATAGCCTTTTGCACGCCCCAGTCCTCCTTCATCGCCGCCTTTGTGGTTGCTGTGTGCAGCTTAAAAAGCGTCTGCTGGTCCAAGCGGCGTGTCCTTTCCAGCTTCACGGCCTTCTGGAAATAGGAAATCCCGCGCTTGGTACCCTCAAGGTCGAACACATCCTTTGGAACGGGGGCGCCTTGCCAGTGCAGTCGATTTCGCGCCCCCATCAACATGCCCAGCAGAGCTGCAACGGTTGACGGTCCAAGGATGCCATCTGTCGGCTCGTAGTTGTAGTGCTCAGCCCCAACCTCGGTCCACCAGTTGCTGATGGCCCTTTCCGTGACGTCGCAAAGCAGGCCGTCAATGTAGGCATGGTCCAGCTTGTCGAACATGTACAGGGCGACCTGGCATAGTTTGACAAGTTCCACCACTGCCTCTTTCAAGGGAACGCGATCGTTGATTCGGTAAAGCTGCTGGAACTTGGACTGAGTCGCCTCCGTGGGTTCCGTAAGCGTGAGGCCAGATCGACCAGAGCATCCTAAACGCTTTAAGTCCTCGTTGACAATGAATAGGTTTCGGTATTGTCGGAGATCGCCCTCGGGCACTGCAATGACGGTGAGTGAGGACGGGAAACTGCTGAGATTCGTGACCATGAGCTCTCCCAGCTCGGTATTCTTCGGTCGCGCATGGTTCTGTTCCGTCTTTTTCAGATACAGTCGGACCTCCTCGGACAATAAGCTCTCGTCTGCCGGCACGGCCAGCACCCCGACGACGATGGAATCCTTTTCGTTGCCGGTGTAGGTAGCAATCACCAGCGTTGGGGGCCGTCGCGAGCAGGCCCACTGCTCGACGAGATAGAGGTCATAGCCGCGGAGGACGCTTCGTCGGTGTATGACTTCCACGCACGGGTCGTTTTCGAGAAACCTGGGTCAGAGGACGGTTAGTGGCTGGCTCTGCTGTCTGCGATGCTGCTATTCTCTAGAAGAGTAACGTACTTGAAGGCGATGGGATCCGGAAAGACCAGGTGCCGCTGCGGCAGTTTGGCGCTTGGTTCCGCGCGATACACCGTGTCGACCATGTGCATCTCGGGGAGGTTCAAGGTCCCATCGGAGGGAGGAGGTCGAGAAGTTCGTCGGTCCAGCTTGGCCAGGCCGGAGTAGTCTTCGTCTCGATAGACCCTCCCGTCCTGGGAGAAGGACGGCATGAAGGACATTTGTGGAGTTCGCCAGCCCCTGGAGGCGTTAAAGGCCGGGCCGGGCTAATCAAGGAGCATCTTCGAGGGCAGAGACAGCCGGGATCTTGGCCTGGCGATGCTGGGATCTGGGGGCGCCTGCGCACTGCACACGGCCGCTGTCTGGGGGCTGCTGCGCATGTGCTGCAACGGCACTGCTGGGTAAGGCAACGGCAGAGCAGCAGCCTCAGAGTCAAAACCTGGTCAACCGATCCAGCTGAGAGCCCGCATGTGATGCAATGTGGCAGCGCACTATCAACCGCTACTCCAGACTCGTCGTCAGTGCCTTTCTGGCTTTGTCTTTAGCCTTGGCCTGATGCATCTCGGACCTGCAGCTAAACTTGGTTCCGGCTCCAGAGCGGGGCAGGCCTGCTGCTCCTTAACGGGGTTCACCGCTGATCCGAGGCTGCTAGTGAGGCCTCTTCAATCACGGCAAGCCGGGAGTAGTAAGAGTAAAACACATGGCATGATATGCTCGTCATTTCGGTTTGATCCCGATACAGCACTTTGTGATTGAACCAGATGAGTCAGAAGACAACGAAATTGAAGTGACAAAGGGTGCACTGGATTGAAGTTTAGGTGAACCCATGTATTTCGCTTGGTGCATTGGATACCTGGTACTAGGTAGTAGTAGACTTGGAAGAGCCCTTGTGTGTTACGTAATACAGGGACCTGACATACATAGCATACTTGGCTACAGTACTCTGTACAGCTAGTATGCATAATGACACACTGTTATGCTTATCTGCATAACTCCCCCCAAGGCCGAGATGCCCCATTCTCGCCATCCGCGACGCCGGCAGCTACCCTATCGATAAGCTGCTGCCCATGGTACTCCGTACGGTACTTGGATGACAACCTCCAACCTACGCCGGCAATCCTCCACCTGAACCCAAACAAACCTTCTTGGAGAACCCATTCGCAGGGCCGGAAATCCCCTCGTTCGCATTCAGATGTTCTATCTTACCAGCCTAATGCGCGGCTTCATTCAGTAGAATTCTTCATTGCTTCACGACCAGCACATTCCACCCGTGACCATGGCTGGGCTGGGCCAGGACATTGTCTCGCCGTTTGGCCCGCTGCAGGCTGAGCTCGCCCGCATGCGCAAGTCGAACCTCACAGCCGCTATCCAGGACGTCGACAAGATTATAGATTACCTTGTCGCGGCCAGGGAGCAGGTTGCTGCCGGTATGGGATCCAAACAACCCTCAGGCGTGGGAGTACTGACTGACATGTCCGACCATGCAGCTGATGCCGACTCCCATCGGATCAGCATGGCCATGACAACTCTTCAGAACCCGGTCAAGGACCGCCTTGACGCCATTACAAATGACCTCAAAGACGTGACCAAGGCGCAGCGCAGCTATGGGAAGGCCCTGGACAAGGTATGCCTCCAGATCCAACCTCTCCACCTCCCCAAGGCTTGCTTAACCGACGAATGCTGACTCTGTCTTTTCCAAGGCTCTGCCGCATAGGGAACTACCGATGGAAACAGACGCGATGGCCGAACACACCGCTCTAATAAATCGCGCCATCGCCATGCACCTCGTCCGAGAGGGCCAATTCTCCGTTGCATCGACCTTTGTACGCGAGTCACGAGACCCGCCCCTCAGTTCAGTAGACGCCTTGTCGCCTCGTACGGCGCGAACGGACGAAGATGGCGATGACGACATGATACAAGAGTACGAGGAGGAGGAGAGAGACTATGGTCATGGAGCAAATGACTATCCCGAGGACCTACAAGGGCAATTCGCAGAAATGTACAATCTCCTCTCGGAGCTGAAGAACAGGAATCTTGGCCCGGCAATAAGGTGGGCGCGCCAAAACAACAGCAGACTGGAGGCGGCAGGAAGCAATCTCGAGTTTGAGTTGTGCAAGCTGCAGTTCATCTGGCTGTTCAAGGGACCGCAGGTTAACGGCCTGCCGGACGACGAGAGAAATGGCCAAATGGGCGCGCTGAGATATGCCAGAGAGCACTTTGCACGATTTCAGACGAGGCATCTCAGAGACATCCAACAGCTGTGCGGCGCCATGGTCTTCGCACCCAACATTGAGGCGTCACCCTACCGGCACATCTTCCAGATCGACTCGGCTTTTGAGGACGTGGCCACCTCCTTTACCCGGGAGTTCTGCTCTCTCCTCGGCCTTTCGGCAGAATCTCCGTTGTATGTGGCTGTGACGGCGGGCTCCATTGCGCTCCCCCGGCTCATCAAGTACACCACGTATATGAAGGAGAAGAAGACTGAGTGGACGACGGAGAATGAGCTGGCGTTTGAGACACCGCTGCCGCCGTCCATGATTTACCATTCCATCTTTGTGTGCCCCGTGAGCAAGGAGCAGACTACTGAACAGAATCCCGCAATGATGCTTCCGTGCGGCCATGTCATTTGCAGAGAGAGTTTGCACAACATGGCCAAGGGGTCCAGGTACAAGTGTCCCTACTGCCCGACAGAAGGCCATCTGAAGGATGCGATTAAGATTGTTCTTTGAATAATGTTGCAGCAGTATATGAGAGAAGCCTAACATCTTCTCTTCTTCTGTTTCCTTTTTGGCACCTTCTCCTCTTTGTTTCATGCTGGGATATCATTACTGGTTTACAACGTTCATATTGAGTAATCATGAACTGGGCTTTGGAGGATGCTGAGCGACAATCTCCAATCCCCTTGTTTCACATCGGTTTCCGTCGGATTTCATCCTTTTCTGCTTCTGGTCTACGAAAGCGAAGGTCATACGTTCTTTGGGAGTAATTGGGGCTTCTCTTCTTCTTTTTTTTCCCTTCACGATAACTCGGTACTATATCATTCTTTGGGTGTGAATAGCAAGTCCATAGGTTGGATCAGTAGGTAGCTAAGGAATATAACCCTCTATATACATACTCTAAATGACTCCGTATCGTTTCTGTAACAAAGGCAAAAAGTGTCAGAAAAGCCGAGGTGATAAGAATAATGGCAAAGAAAGAACTGAAAAAGAAAAGCCGCCAGGGGAAGAGGATAGCAGCGTAGATAGCAAGTAAGGTAGGTAAACAGCTCGAAAGCTCTCATATCGCAATCCTCCTACCAACGACTCAAGTCCTCATACTAAATTTCAAGTTAACATTTTTTGGGGGCTTTTTGTTCTGTTTTTGTTTTGGAGGCATAACTCAGTTTTATATCACACACATAACGAAAGAATTTAGAGTGAAAAGCAAGAAGAGAGAATGATAAAAGGGAGCCAAAGGAGAGATCGTCACATTAAAGAAAGAATGATAAGATGCAAAAGTCTGTTTACTCCCTTCTCTTAAAAAGAGAGAAAAGGACAAAAATAGTACTCAAAAAAGGAGTGACACGGGTCATCTATAAGTCACCCTTTATTCCAATATCCTTCGATATCAAACAATCACGGGTATCCAGACAAAACTCCCCGCGGTCGTTCAGGGAGGAATGCGAAGCACAGATCCAACGCCCCTTCATTGCTGAGCCTACTCGACGAATAAGACAATGACAAAGGAAAAGGTGTAAAAAGAGGCAAAAGTCCGACAAAGCAAATAAAGAAAAAAAAATTGGTATCCATTTAGTTTATGGGATGTTATCAAAAATATCCCCTTCCAGCATAGCCCTTCCGAGTTTGCCTTTGGTGTCGAGCCTGTATGAGGCGGCTCATGTGTGTAAAAAGGGGGCCAACCCATTCCCTTTCGTAAAATCGTTTCTTTGTACATTCCCATCTCCGCGGCCCTGCTACTTTTGTTTTTTTGGTTTTCCCAATCTAGGGCAAAACTGGCTTCCTTAATCGATCGTCATGCGGTTCTGCATCGGGGACTTGACATCGGACATGCCGAATGAGTTGGCGTCCGTCTTCTCCTCATCCCTGCGGGGAGCCATCAGGTGGGCCTTGAGACCGGCGCCGAAGTTGTGCATGCAGATGATGGCGTTGATGATGGTCATGATGATGAGCAGAATGGTGATGACGGCGAAGGCTGTGAGAGATCTGCGAACGGCCATGTAGGACTGGGCGCGGCTGGGTTCGTAGATGCGGAAGAGCTTGAAGATGAAGTATGACAGGCCGCCAAAGTAGAGGATGATGACGACGATCATGCCGGGCTTGTTCTCACGCTGGGTGAAGAATGCAGCGGCAATCAGAATGGCGATTGTGATTGGAATGGTGGCAATCGTGAGCGCGAATTCGGGATCGGTCTTTTGGGCGACGACGACGACAAACTGGATGATGAAGCCGAGGAAGAAGAAGAAATCGAACTTGAGCAAGGCGATGTAAATCTGACAAACATATTAGTCGAGTCCGTCTCGATGTGGCTCATGAGCATGCATCCATACCTGGTAGTGAAGAAATCGCTTCTTCATGCGATAATCAGCACCGATATTCTTGAGAATGTCCCAGGCAAACTGCTGGTACAGCTTCCAGGCCATGTAGACCATGCCAATGGTGGTCACGGCAATGATGACGGGACTGGCAATCAGGTAGGCCCTGATGTCACCCCAGAGCATAGCCGAGGTGGTGCCCGGCTCCAGCGCGCCATTGACCTCCAAGATACCCAGGGCGACCTGAATCTGCTCAATCTGGAGGGCCGCGTAGACCAAGAGCGCCAGGTTGGCGATGCAGACACCAATGATCTGAATGGTGTTTTTCATGCGCAGGGCATCCAAGACGATGACAAGCTCGTAAAGAAAGCCGAAAATGAATAAGGTCAAGAAGGTAGGGATCGTCTTGTACTGAGATTGAACCTGGGGATCCGTGATGTAGTCGCCCAAGCTTAGCTGGAACTTGCCAAACACATAGCTGCGACAAATGTTAGCATCCGAACACATGACCCCAAGGAATAAAATGAAGAAAAGAAAAAGGGGTCCACCCTATGTTGGTGACATACGCTTCGAATGCCAGGTTGATGAGAGCCTGGATACCGGTAATGGCCAAGAATCCCGTGGGCCATCTGCCCTTGAGGAACGCGAGCTTGCGTCCACTGGTGCCGCCAGCAGCACCAGTTTCTGCCTCTTGGTTCAGGCTCGCGTGCTCGGCGTATGTGGGCTGAGCATAGGCTGTCTGTGTGAGAGATGCCTGGGGGTAGGCCTGGCCGTATTCGACGCCGTAGTCGCCGCTCTGGCTGACGGAGCGGTGGTGGTACTGGGCGCCATTCTGATCGAAAGTCGGGTCGCCTCGAAGCAGGGAGTTTTGCGCGTCGATTGTGGTCGCCACGATGGGCAACTGGTCGACTCCTACCGGGAGTCTGCGGGAAGCGTTGGGATAGACGGCCGAAGCGGTGCTGGGTGCTCCAAGAACCGGAGCCGACTAATTCATTCCCAGCCTCGGATACGGTTTGCGCGCGCTGCCTCGGTGGCGATGGCCGGGCGATGAAGAGCGACGAAAGGCGATGAAGCGACGGTCGGCGCAAGGAGTCGAAGAACTGTCGAGAAGAGACGGAGAGAGAGAGTCGAGAAGGGGTGAAGATGAATAAACGAAGTAGTACTGAGTAAGATGCGAGAAGGAAGAAGGAAAAGGGACTCTATCGCTCTGATAGGAATCACTTAGTCGTTCGACAGAGGAGCCAACAAAGGGCCAAACGGAAACATGGAGCAAACGAGAGACGGGAACAAAGACGCAGGCAAGGCAAAAGGCAAGATTTGATGGAAAATGGAAAAAGGGAAAAAAGCGCGGAAAGCGGAGGCGGCGAGTCGAAGCCGGGCTGGGCAGGTACAAGTGAAAAGGCAGGTACGGTACGAGATACTTCGTTCCTGCCTGTAATAAGGTGGAGAGTACCCCGAAAAGTGGCCGTCGAGGATTCTGGGTTTCTGGGAAGCCGCAGCCAGGGGGCGCCTTCTGTCTTGGTTGGGAGCGAGGGTTTGGATGGGTCAAGGTGAAACGCACTTTCGCGAGGCAGGGGCGACTTGGCTGCGATACTTGTACTTGCGCTTGGCGGGGAGGCTTTACTTGTACTTTGGGGGAGGGAGTTTGGGGGAGGTCAGTTCACCTGCAGCCTCGACCTTTTAGCCTCATGCATTGTGTGCCTCAATCATATCAGCCATGATTCGACACCGAACTGCAGACAATGACGACGTACGAGAGCTTTCTACCCAGTGAGGGAGTGCTACTTATCATGTAAGATCGGTACGTAATGCACGTACGGATACAAGCACGACGATTATTACTACTAGCAGAGACAGGGGCACCGCAAGGGTTCATCATCTCGAATGGCAAGCAAAGCAAAACACAGCACAAGCACAGCACGCACGGCAGGCAATCAAGCAGCAGCCAAGGGAGCAAGGGAGAGGGAGCAAGGGGGGCTGCCTCTTGTCCCGGGGGGCATGCATGCCTAGGCTGGGCTGACTGGGCGGAGCAATGCGAGCTGCCTTGACTGTTGGTGCAATTGGGTGCCCTCTGCCGTGATCAGCGCTGGAGCCAGGTGATTAGCATGGTGAGACATTGTTTAATACGGGAGTACGAAGAGCCGTCAAATTTAACGCGACCGAGGAAAATGTGTGTTTTACGAAGCAGGTACTTGGATACAGTATGTATTGGCCGGAAGCTGACTGAGGGCTTAGATGCACCAAGCAGAGTCCTCACGATGCGAGGTAATCGGCGGCGGCGACAGCGAACGATGACGGCAACCAGGATGGATCAACTCTTCTTCGATCAACAGTGGGCCCCGTGAGCACGATGCATCTTGTCTCCATGTCCTGTGGGAGCCGGGCGGGAGCGCAGAGTGCCGTACATGGACGCGAGGCTGTGCTTGTTGGTAAAGAGGCAAGTACAAGTACGGAGTGTTCCGTGCTGCGGCCATCGTGAAATGACGATAATCGCTTCGACTTATAAGAGCACACCAACGGAAAAAGGAAGAAACAAAATAAGGACGGAACCGTGCAAGACCATTTGCTGTTTCTCCTCATCTCATCAGCACGGGAAGCAATCGTGGCGTCAGCCGACCGCCGCCACTTGGGCGATATTTTTGGCATCCTGCAGTCAGCTAGCATCGAGCACCGACTGACGGTCTCCATACTACTAAACGCATCTCCATCCTGCTTGCAGCACGTCAAAATGCTATTTTAATCCAGGAGACTATTGACAAAGGCTTTTCCTTGGCTTGAGGCTCTGCAGGAACGGAGTGCTACATCTCCCCCTACCGCCGCCACAAACCTCAACAACTCGAAATTGGACTCCTGTCATGCTATCTGTGAGTTCTCTCACACTGGCACTTACACATCTGTTATATTAGTACTACTACTACAAGCAACGGCCCAAGATGCCGTGCCAGTCCCCCGAGGTACGCGTACAAAAACTTACTCGTATAGCCTCGTTCGGATAAACAACCCGACTGAACACTGTCCGAATCGTACGAAGACGCCATCCTTGTCTGAGGCGACACTTTTATCTCCCGAGGCCGTCCGCAGCACCACCAGGAAGGAGGACTGCCGGCTTTGAGAATCAGGTTGTTGTTAGCGATCATGTATCTTCCCGTACTGCCCGTCCTTGCACCGGCGGACCCGGTACGGTGGGGCACAACGGCAGCATCGGGGCGCATCACGAGATGACGAGTGCCGCAATCTTGCCTTTATGTTCCCCCGTTTTCTCTCTCTTTGAAAGGGAACCCTGCCCTGCTCGGCCAGGCGAGGTTTTTTCTAGCGACTTGCCGATTCGGGATGTATTTTGCAAGGCCTCCGATACGGCTATGAACCAGCTTGAACGCTCTGAACTCTGCACGTGAAGATAAGTATGGAGCGCATGTCTGGAAAGGCCTTTGAGGATCAGAAGCAAACATGAGAAGTGACTGCACTCGAGGGACAATGAGACAAGAAGCGAAGAAACGAAAGGGGCAAGGCTGGCCGCCTCCAGTTCGTCTCAGCGCCACCCCGAAACACGCGCAGAACCCCAAACTGCAGTGTGCAGCATCCATTTCCCCAGAAAGGTTGCACCCAAGCTGCGTGTTACAGATGCGACCAGAGGCAGACAGAAGGCTGGCATTGCCCGCGCATATGTGGGAGCGGCTGGTCTTGGCTGTCTTGTCTAGGTGGTCTTTAGGTTCGCCCTCCCGTCTCAGACGCAGACGCGCATCGAGCACGCCCAATGGAATGCTTCCAAGTCATCCATGGGGCTGAGGAGGGTGGTTCGCCTGTGCACGCGATGGATGATGTGCAAGTGCCATTGGGTCTGTTCTTTTCCCTGCTTCCTGGATGAGGGCAAGGCACAATTGCGACAGTGGTTTCAAGCTGTGCAGACTGGTTGCTGTTAGGCGAGTGAGCCAGTTGGAGGTGTGAATAAGGGGGAGTTTTGGTTCGTGTCGCGGAACTGAGACTCGAGGCTGGTGTTTCAAAGGGGGGAGAAGAAGCTTTCATCTCTTCGCTTTGATTGACTGATCGATTTGTTGAGGGATTCGAGCGCATGCTGAGGCACCACTGGAAAGGAGTTGTTCATACGGAGTATGCATGCATACCTTACATGCCTACAAAAAGGTTTGAAGATACGGAGTGCCTCGGCCAAACAAGGGCTTTCAATTGATCATCTCGCTCGCAGCCGAGTTCCCAGGCCATAATCAAAAGTTGTGAGGGTCGCAGCCTCCAGCCTCCACCGAAAACGTGGCTGTACCGGGCTAGAATCACTGAGGAGTGGAAAATAGAGACCGCCAAGCTTTAGCTTGTTCATGACCCTCCCCAGCCGCACCGGGACATTGCGATCTTAGCAGCTGTGCTAAGCTGTTCGTGGTTCTCATGGTTCAAGGCACAATTCGGGGAGAGATCCGATAGTAGTAGTAGCAAGCATTTGATTGTCTGCATGAAGGTGCGTTTAATGAAGTGACGCGGCGAGAGAGATTTGAATCGGGTTCAGCTTATACCTTACCTAATGTATCCAATGCCTTACTTGCGCCATGTCGGTGATTGCACGCATCAATGATACGCGTCACCCTCTTGGGATCGCTGTGGGTAAAGGCCGGAGGGAGCACGGAAGCTCCGTGCGAGTCACTTCCAGGGCTCTCCTGAAAGGGCCTGGTTACATAATCTCCAGCCTACATTCAGCTGAGGTTGTTGGTTGTATTATGTATCGCAGAACAGGTACAGGAAGCTGAAAAGACCAGGGTTCAAGCCCAGGACAGCTGATGCCGTCCCTCAGTCAGAGATGCTACAAGCCCATAAACCACGCAGACCACAATTGAATTGAAAACGTGCATGCCCGCACCCCCGCAGTCCAAATGGCCATTGGACCCCTCTTCCTGCTACACCGTCCGTAGCGCTTCTCATAGCTCCGGTCTTTCAGCTGTGCCAGGTCCCTCTGCATCTTTCGGTCGCAGCTTATACGGCGGGGTAGCTTCGTCCGGGTGGTGCAGAGGGGTTCCATCTCTTACGTATGTGGTGCCGCAAAGCCGTATCTATATATTCAACTCAATCCGTACCGTCGTCGTCATCGTCCGCCAAACAAGCGTCTTCATTGCCTCCATCACACTCTCGTTGCGGCGTCCCTTTTTTTCCAGTATCGTGATCTCGTAGACAAGAACGCAGTACAACATGGACAAGTTTGTTGAGATGGGCAAGGAATTCCTTGAGCAGCGCTCCGGCTCTGGCTCTAACTCTGGCTACCAAGGTATGTGCCGCATCCCTCCTCTTCCCATCGTCACCACCATCACCAGGCATCCTGTGCCTTTCAAGCGGGAATGCCTCACGCTACTCTATAACAATCCAATGCTGACCATCGACCAACAACAGAAAACAGCCAGCTCCCTCCCGGAAACAGTCAGTCCCATTCCCTCACCCCGCCTTTCGCAACCGAGCCCCCCTTATCCGAAGACCATCATCCCAATTCTAACTCGAGACCATTTCGCAAATCATATAGAGGCATACGGAGGCAACTATCCCGCCGGCGGCGACTTCCACAACGAAGACGAGGAACTCCGCAGCGCCCACCAGCACGCCCAGCAGTACGCCGGCTCGTCTGGCAGCAGCGACATCTTCTCCTCAGTCATCAGCAGCATCGGCCAGAAGAAGGGCCGCCTGGCTGAGGACGACATTGACGAGCAGGGTGAGAAGTTTTGACCCTCGAAGAAAGATTATGGAGAAAAAAAGATATACGTGGGCTGACAGTGTGTTATGTGTGCTAGATGCCATCAACAAGCACAAGCAGACCTACGAACAGGACGCCGATAATCTAGACTCCGGCAGCCTCGGCTCCGCGGCCGCTCTCCAGGCGCTCAAGAAGTTCACGCAGGGCGAGACGGGCGGCAACCAGAGCCAGGGGGCGTTTCTGGGCCTGGCCATGTCCGAGGCCAGCAAGGTAAGAGAACTGCCTCCCATATGAAATGCCCAAAAAGCGAAACGAGAGAACGAGATCAGTACAGACGCGGGAAAGTATGATTTGATGCTGACAGCTTTCTTCGTCAACAACAACAGCTCTTCGACTCCAAGGCCGCCAACGGAAAGGTTTCCTCCGAGGCAAGCAAGGAGTCTGCAATTCAGCAGGCGGGGGAGCTGGCGTTGAAGATGTATATGAAGAGTCAGGGCGGGGGTCAGCAGGGTCCTTCTGGTTTGCTGGGGATTGCTTCCAAGTTTTTCTGAATTTGATCTGGCGGCACAGGCTCTTTATGGGATATATAGATCCATAAACTACATGCTGTAGTAGTCCGTTGAGTGCCCCCTATCAGGGCAAGACTTCGATCGATGAGCTTACGAACGTTTAAGGCGGAAAATGAACAAGGGATCTGAACAAAGGTGCAGTTTTCGATCCTCTACATGAATAGAGCAAGCTGAGTGTGTTTCACGCAACGCTTGTTCACTGTTCCCCTCGAGCCAAGGCAAACACGTCCGCCCACGAATCAGGCCGTCTCCGTCCCTCGGGATACGTCTCGTGCAAGTAGTCCTCCGCCTCCCTCGCCCACGCCAGCAGCTGCTCTTCGCTCCCCCACTCTCCCGTCGCGAGCAGACTAACCGGCAGCTTCCCCTCCCCTTGCTCGGGATCGACGTAGCCGACCGGCGCCGTGACGGACGGGACGCCCGTCATGTTGGCGAGGAAGATGTACGACATGTTGCGCAGGGTGATGTTGGCGTCGGTCATGCCGCAGGCGTTGTCCCCGGGCGACCGCGGCCAGCCGATGAGGGGCGTCGTGGGCGTCATGATGAGCAACCCGGGGTGCTTCTGGAAGAGGTGGGCGAGGTGGCGCATGAGGACGGTACGGAGGGCGTTGGCCTTGAGGTAGTCGGCGGCGGAGACCTGGGCGCCGACGGAGAGGAGGATCTTGTTGGCCGGGCCGACGAGCGAGAGGTGGTGCGCCGGGTTGTGCGGGGTGCGGCGGCGGGCCTTTTCGGCCATCTCGGCGATGCAGAGGCCCGCGTGGGCGACCTGCGTCTCCGGGAGGAAGGGGATGCTGACGTCGACGATCTGGTAGCCGCGCCGCGAGGCGAAGTGGTCGAGCGCCCTGTCGCAGAGGTCTCGCACGGGGGGGTCGGCCCTGTTGAACCAGTCGCGGAAGACGCCCATGACGCGGGGCGCGGAGGAGGAGGGGGCCGGCGGCAGGGAGAGGGCGAAGCGGGCCTGCGTGGGACAGGAGGCGTCGGGCTGGCTCATGAGGCGGTAGGCGATGGTCAGGTCGGCGGCGGTGGCGGCGAGGGGCCCCGTGACGCAGACGGTGCCCTCCATGGCCAGCGTGCGGTGGTGGGTGGGCTTGAGGCCGTAGACGCCGTTGAAGTTGGCGGGGATGCGGATGCTGCCGCCGGCGTCGGTGCCGACGCAGATGGGGACGATGCCGGCCGAGATGGAGGACCCGGCGCCGTTGGAGGAGCCGCCGGGGTAGTAGGCGTTGTTGAGGTGGTTCGTGGGTGTTCCTTGGACGACCTTGTGTGTTCTCGGGTCAGTATAGCTCAACGCTTTGTGTTGGATGAGATTTGAGGTTATGGTGTCATGAGTAGAGAAGAAGACCTACGTTTAGGCCGCTGGTGTCTGCATAAACAGCGGTCGTCAGCACTTCCTTTCATTACACATATGGTTCAATATAGATGGCTTCTGCAAACTGTACCTGATCCCAGTTCGTGCATCGTATTCTTCCCCAGCACAACGGCCCCAGCCTCCTGCAGCTTCTTCACCGGCCACGCCGACTCCTCCTGCACCGCAAACGCCGGCAGCGAGCCGTTGTACCTCATGCCAAAGTGGTTGACGTACCCCTTGACGTCCGTGTCGTCCTTGACGCCCACCGGCACGCCGTCCAGCACGCCGAGCGGCCTCCCCGCGGCCCATCGCTCCGTCGACGCCCGGGCCGCCTCGACGGCGAGCTTCTCGGCGCCGTGGGCGTCCGCCCAGGCGTCGCTGTACTTGCCGCCCTTGGCCGTGGTCAGGCCCAGCAGGGTCTCGACGACCTGGAGCGGGGTGAGGGCGCCGCTCTTGTACACGGCGTGGTAGTCAGCTGCGGAGTAGTAGCGGAACTTTGAGGAGGAGGAGGAGGTGTGCTTGGAGGTGAGGAGCTCTGGCTCGAATTCGAGCATGGGGCCTGTTGGGCCGAGGGGCGTGACCGTGGGCTTTGCAGAGGAAGGGACTCGTCAGCCAGATATATTCTCATTTCATACTATTTGGATTTGGACGGGGATGAGAAGATGGGGTGAGGGAAAGATGTTGATAAGAAGCATACATGGAAAGTAGGCATGACATTGTCCAGCTCAGGCATGTCCTTGATCTTGGTGATGCCCGAGTTGGCGAGGAAGTATCTTGAAACGATGCCGCTCCGGCTTATACTGCAGTTGAGAACTCATGAGAGAGAAATAGTCAGCCAGCACATCCCCCAATCTCAATCTCGTCATCCAAAAACTTGAACAAATTCGCCCGCCCCTTTTGGCGATGGAAAAGTATTTATCAACATTACATTTCAGCGCCCACGGTGAGGGGCAAGCCCCGGAGCACCGGGTTGTGGTCTACCCGCTGGTCATATCCCGTGTCCGGCCCCTGGACGACATCGGGATAGTTGGCAAAGTTGTCCGGAGGAGGCATAATGTTGGCTTCTCTGGAAGAAACGGTGCGGCGTGTGTGAGACAATTGGGATTGGAATTGGGGCGATCGACAAGTTTGTCTGGTTCCAGAATGTCTCGGAAAAGAAGATTTGAGGGGGGGGAGGAGTGAGGTGCAGGTCACGCAGCTTGATGGAGTGTCTCAGCCGAGGTTTCTTGAGGGATGTTTTAGCGTTTCTACCCCTCGACTTGGATCGTGGTTGTTAGCCGCTTTTTATCTAATCCGATGCCTGCATCAGTTGGATCTATTTGATGTTTATAATTAGGCCGACGGGTTGCGGTAGCGGCCAACAGTCGGTCTCACTGTCCCGGCAATGGGTGAGAATTCCGTAGGTAAGGATGTGTTTTGGGGTAACTTGAAAATCAAAGGCGAGTAACTGTGGTTTCTTATTTCTTCAAGCATCATCCATGACGTTCCTCATAAACGTGAGGATGACGAATCCCTTTGATGATATGAGTCGATGTAGGTTAGGCCAACAGATGAGCACATGTCAGCAGAGGGGCCGAAGAGGCCTTGGACCAAGCCGAAGAGCTAGCGGCAGTTTCTTGAACTATGTAAGCCACGCAGAAGGATATCCGAACATTCCTGCAAGCGGGGGCTTTTCGATTTGGTCTCCTCCATCTGCGGTGTTGGACTTTGAGAGATACAAGTGTGGTTTTGATTGCAACTGCGTGAAATGAGTGGCATTCAGTTAGAAACGATCTCGATGTTTGGTTTGGCTTCAGCAGGTTACGACCCGTCACATAAAAGGGCAGCCAAGCATACATCACCAAGCAATGCACCCAGATTGCAGCAAAAGTGAAATGAAATCAATAACATGTAATCCGTATTCTATTCGTGTGTTTCCAAAGCAGAAAAAGCGCGGCTTTGTTCGCCGCGTATCATCCGTGTCCGTCTATTTCTGCTTCAAATGCCGCCTCCCGATGGGGTATCATAATCGTGTACAGATGCCCGTGACAAAAATGGAGAATAAAAGAATAATGAAAGAAAAAGCAGAGGAGAAAATGGTGACAAAGAGAAGATAATATGAGATGAAGCTGAGAGGAAGAAGAAGAAGAAGGCCATCAATCGTCCATCCCCAAAAGAAAGATTCGACAACAAGAACGGTAAAAGTAAAGCAGGCCAGTCCCTGTCGCCAGTGATATATGCGTCTTTAAAACCAGCCCAAAACTCCGTATCGAGATTCCGTCGTATAAAAGCAGTTGAGCGCAAAGTTTCCGGCCCGGCCGTGTTAGTATAGCTAGCTATTTCCCGTCCATTTCCAGCCTTTCTGGCCAACTGCTTCTCCGCCACGTCATCCGCTCGCGATAGGCTTGGCCAAGGGAGTCCCGACGCTGTTGCGCTTCTTCTCCTTCTTGGCCCAGCGTAGCCCGCAGGCGTTGCAGAGTGTCTTTGGCCCGCTGGGGCCTTTTCGCCATTCTGGGGAGTCGAGAGTGCCTAAGAGTCGTCGTTAGCAGCTGAATTTCAAAGGTGGTCGGCTGGGAGGAGCGCCATTTCCCAATGAGGAGAGCTTAACCCCCAAGGCAAACCAAGCCAAGCCAGACCGGATGGGTGGATTGAAAAAGGATAAAAGGGGGGCTGTACCGCAGTCAGTGCAGACGTATTCTTCTGCCAACTTGAGCTTCTTCTTCTTGTCGCCTGACTTGGAATCCCGGTCCATGGGCATGGCGATTCCGGCATCGCCCTTGATCAGAGTAGGGCTCCGGTTGCCATTGCTCATCCGCTCCCCATTTTCTATGCCTGTCAAGAACGCTATCGTATCCGCCGAGGACGCTTCAAATCGTGCCATCTTATCACGCAATGAGTCCTGACGATTACCCCCCGTGGCGCCCTCCAGGTTCTTTCTCGTCAACGCACCGTCAACGGCAGCGGCGCCGGCAGCCGCTGCTGCTGCTGATGGCATGGGCATCTCGTTAGGGACGCTGTGATATCCGTATACCGTCGACGCTGCCGTGCTAGCATTTTCCGACGTGACATCGGACCGGCCCTCCCGATTGTGCGCCCACTGCCGCTGCGCCTCCTCTGCCTCCGCCTCCTCCTCTCTGCGCAGCTCAGCTATGCGGCGCCTCAACCTCTCGTTCTCAATCTTGTGCTCCAGAAATGAGTCCAGCAGGGCTGCATTCTTCGTCGGGTAAAGGCGCGCCATCATGAAGACGGCCTGGCAAAAGGGCGATTGGTTATTTGGATTCGGGGCGAATCTGGCCGCCGCGATGTGGGCGTGGCCCACGGCCTCGAAGATCGCATAGGTGCCGTCCTTCTTCCTCATGCGATAGAAGACGCGCAGCGGGTTGCCGGTTGCAATGGACTCGTGGAGCTCGGAGACGAGGACGCCCTGGTCGTCGGGATGGATGAGGTGCTTCAAAAAGGTGTCCTGGACCTCTTCGGGGGTGTAGCCCGCCAAGGGCGTGATGCTGGGAGACACATACTTGATGCGCCCGTTGGAGTCGAGGATCTGCAGCAGGTCCCTGAGCTCCTCAACCACTTTCGCCGGCCAGTTGCGTCGCTTGGTGAACTCGGTCAGCGGGTTGTTGCTGTTGCTGGCCATGGCGGTGGGCGTAAAGGCTGCGGCTGGCATGGGCCCTGCGCCCGGGACGTCGTTGGCTGCGGTGTTGAACTGGTCCTGAGCCTTGAGAATTGCGTCTTGGGAGATGAGGCGGCCGTCCACCTCGCCGGCGTCGTCGTCCAGCATGCCGGCCATGGGGTCAATGTTGAGAGACATGTCGCCGCCGAAGTGAGCCATCATGGTGCTCTCGAGAAGTGCCATGGCGTCGCTGCTGGCGTCGTCGAGATGGAGCGCATCAGCTAGGCCGGTTGCGCTGGACGCTGGCCCGGAAATGCCCTGGTCGTTGTGCCCTGCTCCCTGGAACATGGGCAGGACGTCGATGTTGCCGAAGCTGAACAGGTCGCCGTGCAGAGGAGGTGGGCCGGACATGGTCGCGGTAGTATTGCTATACCACCAGCTTTTGAATTTTCCGCATCAGGAGGGCGTCAGATTAGCGGGCAGCTGGGCAAGCCTTGGGTGCGTTCAGTGGCGTCTTTGGGGGGGGCTTTGCAGTATCTGTTAGGTGAGGGGCCCGCGGCGTTCGTGAGCTGGCGTGAAGGTTCGTGGGGAGGGCCCTGGGGAGGGGGGGGGCTTGGGGGGGCTTGTTTGTGCTGCAGGTTTGCTCGCACCTGTCCGAGGCCCGGCAGACGAGGAGCTGGGCTGTCGTGTAAGTAAGCGCGTCAGGGAGAGAAAGGACAAATGGAAAGAGGCCGAGGCCAAAGGGGATCGTGGGCGTTGGCGGTTGTCGCAGCAGCGGCCTCGCCGTGTTTATATGTATCGATAATGCCCTACGTAAGGTAACGAACATGGAGTGGACAAGGCATGGCTTTCAAGCAAATGCGATAGTGCTAGCTCCTGGGATTTCAGCTACGCTGGGGCCAGCCAGGACTTGGCCTGCAGCGCAGCGGGCTCAGTGCTGTCTTGTTAGTGAGCAGGCCGGAGAATTGCCCCCGTGAAAAGCGGGCTCCTGGTACTTTGGGCATGTGCCTGGTTGGGGTCGGGTCCGGGTTTGTTTCATCGCCAGTGCGCGAGTGAGAGACCCGACCGGCTGCTCAGGCATGCACTTCCCACCCATGGCGAGGTACTCGTACCTGGTAGCAGGTTGGCGGCTACTGTCGCACCGCACCGACTTGCAGGGCCTGTACATGAGGTAGGCCCTGCCTAGGGTGAGATATAGTAAGACACGCAGGTAACGTTGGTACTATATGTTGTGGGTGATATGTAGGTACTTTGAGCGTAGGTACTTGTACTGGGCTACGCTGCAATCAGCCAAGGGATGGCCTGGGATTGGATACAAGTCATGTAGTACATGGTCTCACACAGAGCCTCTGCTAGCAGCAGCAATGTCTGGCAGCACAAGTGGCCGCTAGCATCACTCGCAAGTCCAAGTTGCCTAACCCGCCTACCTTAGTTAGTAAATAGCGGGGGTGGACAGCTGAGCAGAGCAAAGCGCAGATCCATACAAGCCATCCAGCCCATCAAGTGGCCGAGAGCAGAGCCAAACGAGACCCGAAACCAAGAACCCAGAGATTTCAGGCATGACGCAACCCTCAAACTGCGGCGCTGGGTTAGCGGCTGCTGTGGGAAGACGTCGCTTCAAGTACAACGCTAGAAGGGGGGAAAAAATTTAAGAACAAGATAAAAGCGGTCCTCGGCTTTGGTTCTGAGCATGGGAATTCAGCACGGCAATTTGATGTCATCTCATGCGGTCCGCAGATATGGAGGCGACACGCCCCGAGCAAGTTGTGCTGTCCTGTACCCAAGTATACTGTACCATGATCCGGCTGTCGTATATCATCACACTCGAATCCTCAGAGAGCTGAATTACCAAGTACTTGCAAACACGAAGCATTGAGTCATTGAGGCGACACGTCAGACACAGCCATTGTCGAATTCCATGGCAGGCACCGTCAACCACCACCGTCGTCCGTCCATCGTCCATCAACCTGCGACAGCTTCAACCATGCTTGGTGCAGGAAAAAGAAAGGCCTGCTGACCGGCGTCGTGCCGGTGGTACAGCCTCCCACGGCTAACAGGCCTCGGGCCTCGCACAGCTGGATCCGATTCGACCACTTGGCCTGGCTAAGCAGCGACGCAGTTCCGGGGAGGGGGAAGCAAGAATGCAAGGGAAATCGTTGCCTGATACATCACATCTGACTGTTCCTGGAACTCAGTCACCAGACAAAGCGCCCCCAAGCAGCGGCTGGATGGAGATTGCCTACTCCAAGGTACAACCACCTAAGCCATCAAGTCATGCAATGTCCGGAGGATATGATACGAACACAGATGGGCTAAGGTACGTTGGTGGGCCGGCATCTCACTCGCCGCGGCATGATGCTCTGATGCCGTTTGAATCACGTACACGAACTATTCTTCTTCTTGCTCGGTAATCCGGAGAGAGATGGAGAAGCACCAAGGGATGGAGCAGCTCTCGAGTCATCTCGACGGGATACCTGGCGGATACTTGTCAAGATTTCGCACAACCCCCGAGCAGGACTAGGCTAAAAGAACAAGCACTCGGGGTCGTCGTGTCCACCCTTGACTTCTGCATCGCAGCATCCAATCCCGCCATCCGTGATGCAACATTGCGACCTGTGGGACGCCCAATTCCAGCCCGAGTCGTCAGTGGCTGTGCGTAACCAAGGTCTTTGCAAGTGCCATCCAGCTTTGCCCGTTGTACTCGACAAGTAGTGCACCACAACGCCTTGGAGCGGTGCAGATCCGCGGCTCCTGATGGGCCTGATGGACAAAAGTGCAGAGCTGCATCTGTATCTGTGCCCCGTTTTTGCCCATCTCGCCCATCTTGCCCATCATCTGCTAGTCACAGTTAGTGCTGCAACGTCAACGCCCTCAGGTCAGGCAAGCCAAGGAGGGGTTAAAGTGATTCTCCCGTCTATCTTATCGCACGTGAGCACGCATCAGTCAAGCGCCCGGCGCTCAACGCGTGACCCGCTGCCTGGAGCGCGTTTCCAGGGCTGCATATCGGAATAGCTTCTAGACAGGCAACGGGCATCTGGTCTGCACGCAACGCAGTCAATACGCTCCATCGCTCGCCCGTCGCCGGTTCAGCCGCCAGACGCACAGGGAAATGCCACGTCCTTGAACAATCTTGACTGCTCCAATTTAGCAGCAGCAGCAGCAGCAGTTCGGTATCCGGTGCACACAGAATACCTAGCCGTCGTCCTCCACTATGTCGAGAATAGACAAGCTCTCCATCTCCGGCGTTCGGTCCTTCAGCCCGGCCGCCCGCGAGGCCATCCAGTTCTACACTCCGCTGACTCTCATTGTTGGCTACAATGGCTCCGGAAAGACGACAATCATCGAATGTCTGAAATATGCAACCACAGGCGAGCTGCCTCCCAACAGCAAGGGCGGCGCCTTCATTCACGATCCAAAGGCAAGCCAAGTCTGTGTCACGGTCTGCGCTCTCCGCTAACGACAAATGCTTCATTTTCAGCTCGTTGGAGAAAAAGAGGTCCTGGCCCAGGTCAAGCTGCAATTCCGCTCCATCAACGATCGACAACATGTGGCGACTCGAAGCATACAGCTCACCGCATCAAAGAAGACGAGGACGCAAAAGACGCTCGACTGCTCACTAGTAGTCGTCAATAACGGAGAGCGGACCACGACGTCAACCAGACAGGCGCAGCTGGACGAGATGATCCCCGAGCGCCTCGGTGTCTCTCCAGCCATTCTCGACGCCGTCATATTCTGTCACCAGGATGAGTCTCTCTGGCCGCTGAGCACGCCTGTCGTCTTGAAGCAGCGCTTCGACGAGATCTTCGAGGCCATGAAGTACGCAAAGGCCATTGAGAATCTCAAGGTGCTCCGGAAAAAGCAGCAAGAGGAGCTTGTCAAACTCCAGGCCGACGAGGCACACAACAAGATCAACAAGGACAGGGGCGAACGGGCCGAAAAGCGCATGAGTGCGCTGCAGGCAGAGATTGAAGCGGCTCGCGACAAGTGTGAAGCGCTGACAGCCGAGATGCAGCAGACGCAGGATATGATACGCCAGAAGCATGAGCAAGCCAACAGTTTCCTCCAAATCGTCCAGAATCTCAACAACAAGCGAGAGCAGCTCGAATATAGACAGGACGCTGTTGACGAACTCAGACAGACGATTGAGGAATTGCCGGACGACGATGCAGCCCTCGAGCGCTCCTTGTCCCAGTACGAGGACAGCATGGCTCGTTATCAACAAGAGGCCGAGCAGAACAAGGCACAGTACGCTGAGCTCCAAAAGGAGCTGGCGAATCATCGTCAATCCCTGTCAGCGAAGCTGGCCGAGCAGGGAAAGCACCAGTCGGACAAGGACAAATATGAGCGCCAACTCAGAGCGAGGGTGGAGCTGATCCAAGAAGCTGCACGGCAGTACAACCTCAGAGGCTTCGACGGGGACTTGAAGGACCAGCAGATTCGAGCCTTCCATGACAAGATCCAGAAGCTCCTGGCAGAAAAGAAGCGGGATCTGGAGCGACTGCAAAAGGAAAACGCTGCGGAGCTCGACAGGGCCACGGGTGTTATTACGGAGCTCGAGGGTCGCAAAGCTGCCCGAACGCAAGATCGCGTATCTGCGAAACAGCGCATGGGGGCCATTGAAAAGCGCACAAGCATTCTGCAGAACGAAGCCGGGAGCATTGACGTTGACGAAGGAGCCAAGGCCCTCCTAGACGCGCAGCTTGGGGAATTGGAAGCAAGATACAGGCAGGTCCAGCAAGACTTGGACAAGGCCAACTGGGACCAGCAGTTGAGTGAGGCCAACGATAAGCAGTGGCAGTTGGAGAACGAGAACGAAAAGCTGGGCCGGGAGCTTGTCGAGTGCACCAGGCTGGCATCGGACCGGGCGCAGCTCGAACTTCGCAAAAAGGAAATGGCAGACCGGAAACGAAAGCTCGAAACATTGACCGAAATGTGGAAGGACAAGCTAAACGGCGTCTTGGGGAGCAACTGGGAACCGGATTCGCTAGACTCCCTGTTCCAGTCGGTCCAGGGCCGCCAAAGCAAAGCTCTTCAGGAGGCTCAGAAACGTCGAGACCAGACGAGGCAGAAGCAGCAAAAGGTCGAATACAAACTGAAGAATGCAAAAGAAACGCACGGGAAAAGATCCCAACAGATGGATCGGAGCAAGCAACAAGTTGTCGCTGCGCTGCAAAAGGTCCGTGACGGCGCTGTCGTGGAAGACTATGTGGAGGAGGTTGCTGCTGTTGAGCAGCAAGTCGAGGAGCTTCGCACCGATCTCAGTCTCTTTGACGCTCTCTTTGACTACTACAACAAGTGCAAGCGTATGCTGGATACGCAGAAGAAGTGCCGACTTTGCGAACGCCACTTTGATGACGGCCAGGCGGCAACTCTCGATCGCCTGCGCAAGAAGATTGACAAGCATCTGGATCCAAAGGGCAAAGTTGATACGGAAAAGGACCTGAAAGAGGCAGTGGACAACCTGGAATCACTGCGGGCGGTGCGCTCGGCCTTTGACACTTTTGAACGGCTTTCGGCAGAGCTGCCTCCTCTTTTGGAGGAGTGGAAGACTGCGGAAGTCGAATATGAGGCTCTGGAAAGGCAGCTTGAAGAGGAAGATGCCCTCGTCGTGGCAGAGGAGGGGAAACTGAGAGACATTGGGGACCTGGCCAAAACAGTAGCGAACATCTCTCAGACGGTCAAAGACATCAAAGACGCCGAGGCCCAGGTAGACCACATCGTCTCGCAACAGTCGTCCAGCGGCGTCACTCGCAGTGTCGAGGAGATACACGAGCTCCAGTCCAACGTGTCTGAGCAGCTCAGAAGCCTCAAAAACAAAATCTCCAAGCTCACGACTGATAGGCAACGGATGAAGGATCAACTCAACTCACTTGAGCTGGAGAAGAGCGAGCTGAGAAACAAGATTGGGCGCACCGCGGGACAGCTCGAGAAGAAGAAGGACCTCCAGAACCAGATTCAAACTCTCAAGGAAGATTACAACCACCAGCGTGAAGTAATACAGCGGACTGATGAGGAACTGGAGAAGATTGAGCCGGGTATTGCAGAGGCAAGATCGGCTCGCGACCAGATTCTTCGCCAGGGCCGTTCCAAAGAGCAAGTCGTTACCGAGGAGCGAGATGCCATTCTCAACTCTATGAGCGAAATCAAGATGATGGATCTCGATATTCAGGACTATGTCGATCGTGGCGGCCTCACTAACCTGGCGTCCAACCAGCGAGCAATTGCTTCTCTCGAGACAGCCATTAGTACCACAGAAAAGGAGATTGCTGATCTGACGGTGCGGACGAACAAGCTCAAGCAGGACATTGACAGCGGAGACCGCAAGAAGAAGAACATCAGCGACAACCTCAACTACCGCAAGCATTTGCGGACACTCGACGTCTTGCGGCGAGACATTGCAGAGCTGGAGGATCGAAATGCCCACGAGGACTACGAGCGCCTGCAAGCAGAGGCTCGCTCGCTGGAGAATACAGCCAACCGGCTGCTGGCCGAGCGCGGCTCCGTCATGGGCTCGATGAAGACCAAGGACGAGGAGCTCGGCCGGCTCCTGCAGGAATGGGAAATGGACTACAAGGACGCCAAGCAAAGGTACCGCGAGTCGCACATCCGCGTCGAGACCACAAAGGCGGCGATCGAGGACCTGGCGCAATGCAGGCTCGCCGTCGAGTCAGCCGTGATGCAGTACCACGCCATGAAGATGGCCGAGGTCAACCGCATCGCCGGCGAGCTGTGGCAGACGACGTACCAGGGCACCGACATCGACACCATCCTCATCCGCTCCGACAACGAGACCACCACGGGCCGGCGCAACTACAACTACCGCCTGGTCATGGTCAAGCAGGACGCCGAGATGGACATGCGCGGCCGCTGCTCCGCCGGCCAAAAGGTGCTCGCCAGCATCGTCATCCGCCTCGCCCTCGCCGAGAGCTTCGGCGTCAACTGCGGCCTCATTGCGCTCGACGAGCCGACGACGAACCTCGACCGCGACAACATCAAGTCCCTGGCCGAGAGCCTGCACCGCATCATCCAGGCGAGGCAGCAGCAGAGCAACTTTCAGCTGATTGTCATTACGCACGACGAGGAGTTTCTGAGGCACATGCGGTGCAGCGACTTTTGCGATAGCTTCTTTAGGGTCAAGAGGGATGAGAAGCAGAATAGCGTGATTTCGAGGGAGAGCATTACCAAGATTTTCTAAAAAAGAGAAATTGTTGCCATTTTCACCTCCTCATCTTCACTCTTCTTTTCTTTGGGGTGGATGATGTGTTTGATACTTTATATGGAGTTGGCTCTAATGGGCTTCTTTATCAAGGAGGTAAAGGGAATGAGAAGATGGAAATAAAGGAAATGTAGGCAGAAAATGTGTATGATCATGTATATAAGGAATCCCATCAAAATACATACCTCACAAAATCAGCATATAAAGAGAGCTTTTGATGAAAACAAATATTCATCTTGCTAATATCTGCATTCGACAATACGAGACCAAAAAGAGAAAGGACAGAATACAAACAGCATCGGGTATCAAAACTGCCCAATAACCCTAGAGAAAACTCAACATCATGACCACGCCAAAAGTCAACCAGTTCCAGCCCCCCCCAAGCCCGTTTCTTGATCCCATCCAGAGAAAAGGGGTGATAAGGAGAAGCAACCCATAAGTATCACGTGATAACCCAAGTTTGCCCCTCCTCCTTTACAAACGAGAAGTAAAATCCAACCTTTGGATTGTATTGTATCGCACAATTGACAAACGACAAAACAAGAAGAAGAACATTGCGCTCTGCATCGCTCATGACCGACCCAAACTCCGTGATTCAGTACCCGTCCGGCAATGTTCCCCTTGATTGGAAGAAAGAGGAACGAAAAGGAAAAGGCAAACAATGAAGGGCAACGATACATGTGCACCCTGCAAATGTAGCAAAAATCAGATCAGTCCCCCCGTAAATCAACAACCGCACCATATGCCTCTGCGTCTCAAGACTCCCTCAGTTCATCCGCGGGCTCTTTCTCCTCGCCATACTCTCCGCCAGCGCCGTCATGGGTAAGTTTTCACGGCCCTCAGGAAGCAAGCTATGCTTCCTCAAGCTGGCCCGCGTGGAGCGACCGCTGCGCTTAAACAGCGGTATGGAGTCTGCCGACCCGGCGGACATGGTGCTCGAGCCGGATTCAAAGGAGATGACGCTGGAGGAAAGACTTGAGATGTTGGGGTTGACTTCGCGCAGGCTTGCGCTCTTATCGGAGACGCTTTCGATGGAGGGACGTGGCGGTGAGCTTGCGGTTTTAGAAGAGGTATCGAGGTCGGCAAAGACAAGGGTGTCGTTGTCCTCGTCGGCATCTTCCTCATCGGCCTCGTCTCGGCTAGGAGAGTTGCCGTCAGTCTTCGCCTTTTTAGCATTGGGCGTCTCGGTACGGGGCAAGCTCGTAGGAAACTGATATTGTGCTTTCTGAGGAGTCTCCCCGGTCGGCCGGTAGTCCTGAAGCGCTGTCTTGCCGATTTGATCGCGCAGGGCTGAAAGAGGTTGGCAGACTTGCGTCGAGAGAGGCTCAAGGCCGTCATGCAGATCGCTGGCGTCAAGTTCCATGGCCTCACCGAGATTCTTGACACGATCAAAGGTGGTCTTGAAGTGAGCTGAGATGTTGCCGAATGACTGATCCACCGTGTTCGACAGCGCCTGGATAGACTGCATGTGTGTTTCGTGGTGGGTGTTGCTCTCAGACTTGGCACGAGCCACAAAGTCGTCCATAGCTTCCATCTGCACGTCCAAGTCGTCGATCTGAGCGCCCACCACGCGCACGGTCTCGGCGTGGACTTGGTTTGCCGTGCTCCGGATGGAGTTGCTGCGGCCCTCGGCAGCGTTCCAGTCGTCTTTCAGCTTCGTCTTGAGCTGATCGCGCGACTTCTTGACCTCCTCCAACAGCTCGCCCTCCTTGCCGTCCCACGCGTCCATGCCTTGACCGTACTGAGAAATGGCACCCTCGAGGGATGCGTTGTAGTCGGCCATGTTCTTCTGGATCTGCGAGGTCCTCTCTGCGAATCGGCTCTCCTGTGCTTCGGCCTGGGATGTTATCAAGGCTGAGATTTGGGAGAGAAGCTTTTGGCGCTCCTCGGCCGCTTGTCGCCTCTCTTCTTCTAGTGCCTCCTGCATGCGGGTCGATATATTCGCATTTTGAAGCATAATGGTGTTGGTGGCGCTTTGCAGCTGCCTTCTCAGGTTGTCCGACTCACAGCGCTGAGTGGTTATGTGCCGGACGAGCTCCTCAAAGATGGACTTGAAGTCCTTGCCCAGGGAGCTGTACGAAGTGTGAAGCTGGTCGTGGAACTCGGTCATCTCGCTCAACACGTCGCCGGCAATCTTCTCCGCGGCCTGCGCGATGGCTTGCAGACTTTCGCCGACTCGTTCTTTAACGTTGTCGCGAACCTCCTTGATTTCTTCCAGAACCTCGTCCATGTCCTCCTTGGACCTTTGCTTCTGCTCGAGGAGCTGTCTCTTGGACTCTGCAAAGGTGTCAAAGTTCTCGTCGAGGAAGGCTTGGGTGGCGGAGAGCTTCTGCAGTTCTTCTTGAACAAACGTCTCCATCCTTCTTGAGACGCTCAGGATCTGTTCTTGCTGTTCCTCCTGGAACATACGAACCCGCCGCTCCACCATTGATGTCACCTCGGCAACCTGAGACTGGGAGGAGTTCCAGGCCGTCCGATTAAGCAGGTGTAGATCCGATTTGCGCTTATTCTTTGCGTGCAGACCGTTGACATCCTTGACCGTCTTCTGTAACTTGTCAATCAGCACGCTGCCAATCTCTGTCAGCTTCTCCTCCGTCTCCTCGTGAGCCTTGCGTCGCTCCGTCTCCTCTGCCAACGTCTTTCGAGTCGCGGCGAGAATGATGTCTGTCTGGTCAAGGACACCCTGGGTTTCGTCCAGCTGCGCCTTTGTCGCTTCGTGGTCTTTCTTCATACCCATGAAGGAGATGTTGAGGGAAAAGAGCTCCTGGACCTTGTTCCGTAGATTGGCCTCCAATGTCTCGAGACGCGCGCTTTTCTCTTCCAGCACAATCCTCCTTGATTCACTTTGCGCAGTCATCTCCTCGAACATTTCGTTTGATAGGTAAACGCCGTTGCGCTGCCGTGTGGATATCAGCTCACTTTTCAGCTTCTCGATCTCGACGGTGAAGTCTCTCAGGAGCATCTTTTTGGTTATCATGTGCATTTGAGGCTTGTTTCGGATGTTCTTGGCGCGGAACGCATATTCGAGTGTTGAAATCGTTTCTTCAAGGTTGCTCTTGGAGGGAGAAATGGTGGCAATGATGCAGGTCTTGGTTCGCCCGCCTAGCGAATCTTGCAGGAGACGGGTCAATTTCGACTCCCGGTAGGGAATGTGAGGGCTGTGGTCCACCAGCGCATTGATGACTCGCCCCAGGGTGAGCAGCGATTTGTTGATCAAGCCGGCCTCGGTGGCTCGCTTGTTCTCTGCGCCCGATCTTTGTATGTTTTCGCTGCCAGCCAAGTCCACCAGGTTCAGCTTGCCGGCGCTCACGAGCTCCTCCACCCCTTGATCGTTGGAGCTCTTGACGTAGGCTGTAATGGTGAAGACGGTGTGGCTCCGAGAACTCAAGTCGTTGCACTTGGTGGCGGCGACCTGGCGCTTCAAGCTGCCCTCCTGGAGCACCTTGATTCCCTCGGCTGCGTTTTTGATGTGCTTCTCCTCCATGCCCTGAACAAGCGTAGTGGCATGGCCCCGTCTTGAGGCATCGTCGTAGATCTTGAGCTTTGTGTTCTCGTCGGTAGATAGCAAATCCCGGAGTTCTTCGTTGTATAGCTCGATAAAGGAGCACTTGACGCAGTTGTCGGTGTTTTCGTTCTCGAGCTTGTCAAACAGCTGCTGCAGGACGCGGGGAATGATGCCGGCCTCGTCAGACAGCATGCCCAGCGTATCCGACATGTCTCCCGACATTGTGTACGTCTTGCCCGTCCCTGTCTGGCCGTAGGCGAATATCGTGCAATTGTAGCCGGCGAGCATCTGTGGCAAGCCTCAATATTAGTATATGCCATAAACGCCAGTCTTGATTCGAGACCTTGCGCATCGAAGTGCAAGAAGAAAGAGGAAAGACCAACCTCTTCCAGGATAGGCTTCACCACATCGTCAAACACCATCGACTGATCCGCCGCCGGCGAAAACACGCGGTCAAAGCTATACGTCTTGTTGCTGAGCGCGTTTGCGCCCATTGACAGCTCAATCACCTGCCCCTTGACGCCGTCCGCATTCACCACCACCGTACTGTTCTCCTTGACCTCCCTCTGGCTGCGCCCGCGACACCGCACCACGACGTTGATGTTCGTCTCCTCCCCGCCGCCGACCATCACGTCCGCCGCCTCAAAGTCGCGCTCCTTGCGCTTCGTCCCGATCGTCGTCGACTCCGCGGGCGACTGTGCACTCATCCGGTCGGCTCGTGACGCGGTCGCCAGGTGTCGGTTCGTCGGGACCACCGAGGAAGATCGTGTGCCGTTGAAACGCGTGCTGCTGCTTCGCACGCCGGCGCCCGGCCGGATGCCCGACGAGCTCATTGTGGACCGCGTGGGCTCTCTATCGGTGCGAGTTCGAGGGTGAGCCATGCTGAGCAGCGGTATGAGGCCACCAGCTGCCGATATTGGCCTTGGGTTTTGGGGTTTGGGTATCCGTAATTTTGTGTCTAAGGTATGTGTATGTATGCACCTAAAAGTGGCTGTGTGCTGTTGTTGTTGATAATTCCCTGGCGGGGATTAGCGGTGGAGCCTTTGGGCGATTAGGAGGTACCTTAGTACCCAAGTATCTCGCCGGAGTGGAGTACAGGAAATAGTACTTTGCTCTGTGAACTGAAATCAGCCTAGAATTATTCTTCAAAGGTCAAAGAGCAGAGCAAGTTGTAGTAGCTGATCAGTTGTATTTAATGTTGGCGATTGAGAAGTGATGTGCTGTGTTGAAGAATTACTCTTGAATCGCATTTGAGAGGGTCGCGGAGTAAATGATAAGGTAGGTCACTCAAGTAGAAGTACTTCGATCTACGGAGGAGACTGCCGGCGCCGTAAGTACTGAGTACCTGGATCGGTTCGTGCAATGAGTGGGTCACAAACTGGTCGCCACAGCAACGGCACCTTGATAGCGATTGCATGCATCGCCTTTCGTTGTGCATGTTAAAGTGGTCTTGCAAACAATGGTCATCAATGGAGACGGGCGCAAATTGAGCATCATTACTTCATATTTTATTAAAAAAGAGTAGGTAATCTTCATATATATGCAATTCTAAAGCATCTGAAAAATGCACGGCAATAGGCTCTCAAAACAGCTCCTCTGCCAGTACGTATCTAAGCGGGGATATCTTCGCGATGCGTCGTCCTTTTCCCAACCGTATCAACGCCAGTAACCCAATGAGGAAAAACCATAATTAAACTTTTAATATCAAAGACGATGTTCGTCTTGATAATCTCATTCAGCAACGTCCACGGCCTTCTCAACATCGGCTTGCTTCTTCTTGGTCTCCAGCTTGAGTGAGTTGAGGCCCGTCTTGTGCTCAGTGTGCTGCTTGCTGAGCGTCTTCTGCTTCACAAAGAAGCTGATAAGAAGCCCGACAAACACGAAGCATGTGTAAGCAATAAACATCTTTTGCATGGCATTCCAGTAAGCGGTCTGGGCCACCTCTCGCTGATGGCCCTTGAGGGAAGCCACCAGAAACACGCTGGACGCAGCCTCGGAGCCGGACAGTTTGCTGGCCAACTCAGGTCCAAGCTCGCGGATGAGCGAGGCCTGCTGCTTCTGCATCTCGTTGTCGAAGATGACGCCGCCAATGACCACAGAGGTGGAGGTCCCGAGCTGTCGGAGGAACTGGAAGCTGGCGGTAGCAGCTCCGATATCGCGGGGCTCGACGTTGGTCTGCAGAGCAATAAGGGGAGACTGGAAGTTGGGACCGACACCGATACCAGCAATGATCTGGAAGATGATGATCTTGGCCCAGTTCGCCTTGGCACCCAGGTCAATGAACAGACCAAAGCCCAGAGTCATAATGGCCAGTCCCGACACGATGGGGATCTTGTAGTTGCCCGTCTTCTTGATGAAGATACCCGTTGAGGCAGACGTGATGGACAGGGCCAGGACGTAGGGCAGGATGTAGACACCAGAAAGCAGAGACGTGGCGCCCAAGACGGCTTGGAAGTAGAGCGGAAGCCAGTAGCTGCCGGACATGAAGGTCATGGCGTGCATGATAGACAGGCCATAGGCGGCAATGCTGGTCCTGTCACGGAACAGTCGAGTAGGCATGACGGGAATCTTGGCGACTCGATTCTCATACAAGCCAAAGAGGACAATAGTGATGAAGCCAAAGACGATGAGGCAGATGACGGTAGCGGACTTCCAGGGGAACTGAACGCCGCCAAACTCGAGCCCAAAGAGCAGCATGAGCGTGCCGCCGATGATGAGGAGGTTGCCCACCCAGTCGATGGCAGCCAGTCCTTGCTTGACGGGCGTGCGAGGGTTGTGCAGCTTGAGGACGAAGATGAGGATGAGCAGTCCGATACCACCCAGAGGTAGATTGATGTAGAAGCACCATCTCCATGAGACTTTGCTGGTGAAGACACCGCCGAGGATGGGTCCAATGGCCGAAGCCAGGGCCCAGACCATGCCGAGAATACCAAAGTACATGCCTCGCTTGCGCATGGAGAAAAGATCGGAGATGCAGATGTTGGGAAGGACAATGGTGCCGCCACCACCAACGCCCTGAATGGCACGGGCAGCAATGAGCATGCCCATGCTGGTGCTGACGGCGCAGAGCAGCGAACCGATCCAGAAGATGGTGACGGTAGCGATGAGCGTGGGCTTGCGGCCGAAGATGTCGGAGATCTTGCCCCATGTGGGCACGAACGCAGCGTTGCCGAGCAGATAGGCACTTCCAATCCAGACGTAGCCGGCGCTTGATCCAAAGTGGTTGGAAATAGTCGGGATGGCAGTGGTGATGATGGTCATATCCAGCGCCGCCAAGAACAGCGCCAGACACAAGGCGAAGATGATGAGGACCGTCTCAATCTTGGTCCGGCTGGCTTCCGGTTCGTCTGCCGGTGGTTGCTGCGCTGGAGGGCCTCCAGCTTCCGCCGCCTTTGCTGATGCCGAGGCTGGTGCTTCATCCTCCTGATCTACTGATGAGACGCCAACCTTGTTATCTCCCAACTCCTTGTCGATGCCCTCACCGGCCTCGATGGCCTTGATCTCGCCATCGGTGCTGCGCGCAGGATTGACCGTGTCGTCTGAGCTGGTGCGCCTATCCGGCGTTGTGGCTTGATCGACAGCCATAACGAGGCGTCGACGCTGTCTTCTGAGACAGGAACTCGATGGGTTAGGGTTCGGGCGGCTGAAACTTTTTGGTGGAGCCTCCGCGTGGCGAGAAGGACGCTGGTTCTCGTGGCGACTCCTCTAGGAATTCTTCTTTCCTTGGCCCGTCTCTGCTTCGGAGCAGCTGAGATAAAGGTACGCGTATTGTCAACGGTGACAAGTAGCAAGTCAAAGGGGCGGAGTCCAAGGATAGGGGGGCAAGGAAGAAGAAAGAGCAGGAAAGGTTGAGGATGGGCAGAAAAGATGGTTGTCTCGACGGGGGAATGCTATTACTATATAGAATGGTAGCGCACCGGTAGCCTTGCCTCCCCAGCAGAGAAGGTGAAAAAAGGAACGATGAGATGCGTCAAGCATTTGCGTTTGTAATCACGGGAAGACGAAAAAGAAATACCACAAGTCATCGGCCGGCCCACTCAAGGCCGGGTTTTTCGTACTTCGTATGTACGAAGGTGGACTGCGTGCCTTCGGCATGGGCTTGGGCCGATTCCCGGAAACCGGCACGGGACAAGTGCATGTCTTGGGTCCTCGAGAAGCGCACCAGCAACGACGGTGATTTAGAGACTGGCCCTCCAGTGAGCATCAGTCTCGAGAGACGCCGAGCAGCCTCGTGCGAGCTCTGCACCCGTATATCGCCGTCCACCGCGCCCGCTGTCGTCGGTGCTGCTTGGCGCGTGCTTCTGCGCTGGGCGTGGATGCTGACCATTGGGTCTTTGCTCTCTTCCCTGCCTGCAAGGAGTCGCTCAATGACCCGTCCATTCTCTGTACAACTGGCAGCTCCATACCCTCACCGCAAAAGACGCCTTCCGGGCTGGAGTTGGCACCACTCAGCCCAAAGTTGGATCTTTTTCTCCAGGAGTGGGGGCAAGGCGAGCACTGGCCCTCGCACTATTACCGGGTCTCCATTGCATCGGCCGAGAGCGGGTGCCAGCATTGGGTTTGTGAGATAGGCCAATGGCAGCGGCTGCTTCTCGCTCGCAGTGCCGCTTGTAGGAGTCTTCCAGTAGCTCGAGCATTAGGCCGTGGAAATAAGGAGCCGGCAACTTAATTCGGCTGCTTGTTCGAAGAACCCCTTTGCCCTTTGAAGGGTAGCGTTGGCCCTCTGGTTCTGAGCCCCGGTGATTGCAAAGTCCGAACAGCGAACCGAGTCATCACGGGCAACCTCGCGCTTCTGTGGTGTTTGCATTGTGGTTGTACAAAAGTAAGACATCGAAAGCAGTGATTCGTGTCAGCGTTGCTTGTCCCTATTTGCATGTCCGATTCGCACCCGTCCAGCAATAACAGAGAGCAGAAGAGCTGGATCAGGTAAGTAGATGCCATTCTCCAGATCCAATGAACGCACCGCTTCATATCAAATCACATCTCGTCACATCTTATTCCAAAGCAGCTCTGCGCTGGACGGGATAAACGTTGGTCAGAGTTCCAGCCCCGCGCGGCAATCTTGTTAACCCCCCTGTAGCACCTCGTAAAAATCTTATTTCCTTTGCTGATGCCCATCCCGGCCTTCTGATGTTGTACGAGAGGGGGCCGCGCATTCGCAGTGAACACACAGAACTTGGCAAGGTCACATCCGATAAGGTGCGGATGCACACACTTGGGCAGGTGGCTGGTCATTTCCTGCCGTAGCCACAGCCAGTTCTTGCCTATTGGGTAAAACACCAAATCGGAAGCATATCCCGAATACGGAGACTTCCGGGCAGGCGCAACGGCCAATCAGTGACATTAACCTCAAGTTGTTCTCACTTTTGACTGACAACCTCAAGTCTCACCACAAGCTCAGATTCAGCGCCTTTGCAATGCTTCCATCTACAGAAAACACACTTGCAGTGACTTGCATCAAGGCACTCCAGCATCATGTCTCACATTCAGAGGCGACTTGGGAGGCCGACTGCCCGGCTCCGTCCCGATCCAGCCACATAGTTCTTTCCGATCGTCTGTCGCCAGTACCTATACGCATCAGAAGTGTGTGAATAGCTTCGAACTGTCTTTATGTATCTTCTACCCAGCAGTGCCTCTGTTTTCCCTGGACGTCGGACCAAGGCAAACAACCCGTGATGATTGGACGCATCGCCCAGCGGCGCAGGGGGCGCACCGACATCGTATGTATCGAAGAATGAGCATCTGATGGACGCAGCTGTCTAACCCATGGAAAATAGGCAAGCTTCCAAGCATACCCCAAACGACCGCTTTCCAATACCATGAAAGAGGCTCCAAATCAGCATTCCATATCGAGATCCAGCAAAGGCTATTTGAGAAATACGTCCTTCCCCTCGGGATGTCTTTCCTTTCAGTTCCCTTTACATCACGGCTTCTGCACTCAGACGAAGATTGAAGCCAAGACTTCGTCAGCCAGAACCTCGTCAGCAAAGAGCAACTCTCAACCAACCAGAGTGCGCCTTAGTCGTAACGCAAAGGAAAGAGACGAGGCCCTCATGGAGGAAGCCACTGCCTACGTGAAGTTTCTCAACGACGCCAAGGGAGAAGATGGCTTTCTCAAAGAAAAATCCAAGCTCAGTATTACACCTAAACTCGGATTTTGCGGCAAAGTCTCCATAGACCTCGAGGACGGCGCTATCGACAGGGCAAATGCCATCATTGAAGGGAACACCGACCAATGTCATCACATATTCTTTGTAGATGGCTCTTTCATCGCGGAAAGAGACGCAGAGACGGGATCTCTGGATACTAGTTCTGGTGCGGCCGTCGTTTACAAGCCTCTAGCGCCAAACCAGCCTTGGGTAGAGAGATACTTTGCACCACCCAAATGCGAACAAAGCGCTTTCCGGATCGAGATCATTGCCATTCTGAATGCTTTGAAGATTGCCGCGGTAGTGAGGGACCTATGCAGGAGATGTGATCCAGGAGGTTCTGATGGCACGGCGGCAAAGTTCAGGGTGACAATCTTTTCGGACTGTACAAATGCTCTGTTACTCCTGAAGGATCTCAAAGGCAGCATCGCCGCTAACTCTCCATTGCTTAAAGATGGCGTTGTTCGGGAGCTCATTGCTGTGTCTCAATATCTGGACCGAAAGGGAGTTTCCGTCAAGTTACGCTGGGTTCGGGGCCACTCAAAGGCCAAGGGCAATATTCTCGCAGATAATGCAGCTCGATACGCAGCAAGGCATCCAGAGATCAGTGCGATTCTCGAAAAAGAGCTGCAGGTGACGGTGCCGACCTCATCAAGCGCTACGAAAGCCGGTACTCCAAAGGATACTAAGCCTTCGAAGAAAGAGAACAAGAAGAAAGTACCTCGATCTGAGGCCGAGAATCAAACTACCCTACCCGGAGGAGAGAATCTTGTCCTCGATAGCAAAGACACTCCGGAGCTCCAGGATAACGTCCGATGATGGACGGAAGGAGGTCTACAGACGAGGCGAGAGAACAAAAAAGAAGTCGAGCTGTACTATTTGACTCTGAATGTCAGACTGGACTCACGCGGGAAACTTAGTACTAAGCAGAAAGCTATCTTTTACGTATACCTACCTTGCCTTATGCGAATGATCAACGTCCCCATTGTACTATGATTGATGTAGTCACTTCTCGCAGGGCAGCTCATGGAGCAGCTTTTACCATCTACAGTGAACAGAAGGCAGTGCCCTCATAGCCACTCTCTACTAGCTTCACCTTGTCACCCCATCAGAGGACAAACACCCCTTGTTTGCCAGAAATCACATAACGAAAAAGCCTTATAATAAAGCTACCTCACTCATAGAAAAGGGAGATAAGAATATATATACGCAAGACAGAAAATGACAAAGCCTTGTATCAAACCACTCTCAAATGCAGCAAGAACAAGGGCAGCATGAAGCTAAACTTCTAAACTCTACATCATGTTCAATATCTGTCATAGTCTGTAGGTATCATACAATGTCCACCCAAAACCCACCAAGAATCCCAAACAACAAAACCAAAACAAAGCAGAATCCAAAGCCTCATGATGACAGAAACAACTCGCTCCCATGAGTAAGGTAATCACCCATAAAACGCCCCTTCTACCCTGACTTTAATGCTTGGGGACTCAAAACACCGTCACCGTATTCACATAATCATTCCTCAAAACCTCAAACACCATCCCCGGAAACCCATACAGCGTCGTCGTCGAATCCCCATTGTTCGCCTCGGGCCTCCTCGCCCCGCTCTCCTCCCAGCCGCCCAAGAACTCGCAGCTGCTGCCCGGGCTGTCGCCCCAGCCGCGGTTCAGGACCATACCCCCTTGCCGCGGCTGCGGCGCCGTCTTGTCCGCCGTGCCGGGGTACGCGCCCTCCCACTTGCGCCTCATCAGGCTCTCAATCGCCTTGAACTCCATCTCCGAGTTGACGTGCCCGCCGTCCCCGACCAGGTCGTCCAGGTAGCTAATCTCCCAGCGGCACCGCCGGTGCCGGTTGAACTCGTACGAGCCGGGGATGTTGCCGTGCAGCACCAGCTTCGTCGCCACCAGCCGGTCGGGCGCGTGGTTCTGGAGGCCGTTTCCTACGTCGTCCGGCACCTGCGTCTCGCCCGGTGGCAGGCTCGACGGCGGCACAGGCGTGGACATGAGGATGTCGAACCCAAAGTAAAAGTAGTTGTAGAAGCACTCTCCCGACGCGTTCTCGCCCCCTTCGTCTTCCACCGCGGCCTCGTTGTCCGACTCGTCAGACCCAGTATGCATGGACGACTGATCCGTATCCGTCGACTCGTCCGGCCGCCCCAGATCCTTGACGGTAGGACGCCCATGAGTATTGCTAGCAGCTCGCATCTTGTGAATCACCATCTTCTGGTCGTTCTTGCGGTAAATCGCATTGGGCGGCCCCAGCTCCGCCACGATCTCCTGCGGCGTGGTCTCGCCGAGGATGATCCACGAGGAGCTCGTCGTCCACTTCCGAAACAGCTGGATCTTGCCTCCGCCGTGCAGCCGCACCAGAGACACCTCGTCGGGGTAGACGTCCTTGCCCCGAGGAATCGTCGACGTCACCTTGACGCTCGGCAGCACCTCCGTCCACAGCGTCGGCCGGACCTCCGCCCACGAGTTGCCGCTGAACACGGCCATGGACGTGGCAACCTGCGACGACGACGCGGAGAGCAGAGAGACGACGTCCTTGTCCGCAGAGTACACCGACGTGGGCACCGAGAAGTTGAAGGCCACGCCGGGATACGACAGCACATACGTCCCGTTGCCCTGCGACGACGACGACGACGACGACGACGACCCCGCCGGCGGGATGAACTCGCCCGCGTAGGTCGGCCCCAGCAGCCGGTGGTAGATGTGCCTGAACGTGGGCCCCGCAGAAGACTCCCCGGGCACCGCCTCGGGGGCGGCGCCGGCGCCGGCCGGCCGTACCAGATCGCGGTCCTTAAAGGTGATGTGGCTCTTTGTAAAGTCGATGACTTCGATCAGGCGGAGGCGCTGCTCGGGCCCGTCGAAGCGCAGCCTGATTCCGTTCTGCGGCAGCACGACGCATACCGGCTCGGTGACGGGCTGGTCGCGGGAGTAGAGGACTTCGAGCTTCGGGAACGCTTGCGGTTCGGCCTTGACGCGGGTCAGGACATCGTGGAGGGACGCGCCGAGGGCTAGAAGACGAGACGGTTAGATTTCAGACAGAGCCTTCTGGAGCAGGAGAGCTTAGTAGTCGGCTCTGCTTACTGAAGAAGCCCAGACCCCGTCCGGGATGAAGCTGTGCGGTAAAGAGCGACATGGAGAGATGTGGTGAAGACGCGACAAAGACCCAAGGGGGGGTCAGTGGGGGTTTGGTAAACGCAGTGACAACACTCTGCTGGGCTGTATGGCTGGGCGATTGATGGTGTCGTTGGTCTTCTTGTTGTTGGTATTTCGGAGACGGAGACGCTACAGAGGCATTCGGCGAGGAGAGGATGGTCGTAGAAGAAGTGTCTATGCTGCGGTCATGGACGAGGGAGACCATGAAGCTGCCTGGAATGCCGGGGCTCGGGGCTGTTCCATGGCGGCAGCTGGCAGTGTCACGAGCTTGGAGTTGGCGCAGGGACCAGCTCAAGGGGTGCCGGATGACGGCATGGCGTGGGGTCGAGGAGCGATTAGATAAGCAGCGTGACTTACATGGACATCAGGCAGAACAAGAGACGAGACAAAAGAAGCAGAGACAGATGAGAGTTGACGGATCAGACAGACATCTTTGATCGTAGTAGTATTGCATTTTGTCTAGCAGTCGTTTCGCACTCACCACATATAATACAGATTCTCACAGTGACGTCCCGACATCAAGAATTCATCCTCACCACTCCTTGACCTCGCCGCTCTTGGGCTTCACCGTACGAATCACCTTGTCGCAATTCAACAAGCACAATGGATCAAACGCCTTTTTAATCTGCATCACCATGTCAACAACAAGCTCTCCTCTATCATCAGACAGTGGATTCTTCATCGAACTTACCTGGCGCATCGCGTCCACCGTGGTCTGACCCAATTCGTGAGGTAGGTAATCCCTCTTACCCAGGCCAACGCCGTGCTCTCCCTATCATTTGTCTATTAGCAACTAGTAATCTTGCTAGAGTAAAGGTGGGTTGACAAGTTAAATCTTTGGACTCACCGTGACTGTGCCCTCGAGCTCAACAGCCCGCTTCACCATCCGTGAAACAACCGTCTCAGCCTTCTTTCGCTGCGCTTCGTTATACAACAGAATAGCTGTTTCCCACGGTCAGCATCTCTTCCGCAGTCAAACTCCTCAACCAGGCAGACTCCAAAAAAACTCACTGTGAAAGTTTCCATCCCCCACATGCCCGACAATCGACGCAAACAGCCCGCTCCTCTGGATATCCGCCTTGGTCTCCTCAATCAAGTCCGGCAGCCTGCTCATCGGCACGGCCACGTCCCCCGTCCACACCCGATCGCCCTCCTTCTTCATCGCCATGGTGCTCCAGAGCGCCTCCTTGCGCGCGCTCCACAGCTCCTCGCGCTCGGCCTCGCTGCGGGCAAACTCAAACGTCCTGCTGCCCGCCTGCGACGCCAGCGCCTGCACCTGCGCAACCTGCTCCTTGACGCCCAGCGGCGTGCCGGAAAACTTGAAGAAGAGCGTGGGCGCCTCGTGCCACGTGCGCGACGTCGCCTGCGAGGCGTTGATGCACTTCATCTGGACGTCGTCGAGAATCTCCACGGCGGCCACGGGGATGCCCTTTCCGACGACCTTGCTCACGCAGGTGGCCGCGTGGTGGATCGTGGGGAACGAGCAAACGGCAACGCTCGTCGACTCGGGCTTCACCGTCAGCTTGAGAGTAGCCTCCGTCACCAGGCCGAGGGTGCCCTCGGAGCCGATGAAGAGCTTGGTGAGGTCGTAGCCGGCAGAGCTCTTGCGGGGCCGCTGCCTGGTCTTGACAATGGTGCCGTCCGCCATGACGACCGTCAAGCTCAGCACCCACTCCCGCATCGTGCCGTATCTGTAAGCGTTCGTCCCGCTGCATCCCGTCCCAACCATGCCCCCAATCATGGCCCCTGGCCCCGGGTCCGGAGGGAAGAACAGGCCCTTGTCCGAGAGCATGTTGTTCAGCTCCTCCCAGCCAACGGCCGGCTGCACAACCACGTCCAAATCATCCTCATGCAAGGCGAGAACCTTGTCCATCCGCCCAAAGTCAATCGAAATGCCCTTCTTCGTCGGCGTGAAGTGGCCCTCCAGGCTCGTGCCGCCGCTGTAGGCCGTGACCGGGATCCGCCGCTGGTGGCACACCTTCATCACCTCGGCCACCTCCTCCGTCGAGCCCGGATACACGACGCAGAACGGCCGCTCGTCCGGCCCCGCGTTGTGCGTCGACCAGTCCGACGTCGCGTGCGCGCTCACCTGGTCCTCGTCCGTCGAGACGTTTTCCTTGCCCACGATCTTGACAAAGTCGGCCCACGCCGCCTGCATGTTCTCCAGCTTGATGTTGTGCGTCAGCGGCCGCACCTTGGACAGCGGCAGCGTCGACGTCGGCTCGGGGTCCCGCGGCCAGTACGTGCCCAGCCAGTAGGCAATGCCGACGCTCGATAAGAAGACTGCGTGTACACAAACACATCGTCAGTTGCTGCACACATGACACCAAGCACCCCAAGTTGACTCCCATTCCTTTCAACATACAGAAAGTAATCATCCAGTTCCTCGCCGGGTCGTTCATGTCCCTCCACTTCTCGTACTGCTCCCTCTGCTCCCGCTCGCGCCTCAGCCGCGCGCCAATGCTGCCCATGACCTGCCCCTGGAACGACCTCCCCAGCTTTGCCTCATTGCCCTGCCGCGGCGGCTTGGGCCTCTCGGGCTCGATCTCTGTCGCATAGCGTCGCGCCGCCGCTGCTCCGGGACGAGCAGCCAGGCGCCGGAGAGCCTGTGCGCGCACCGGATGCGCCGCCGAGCTGCACCTGAGCATTTTGGGTCGATTGTTTTCGATTCAGTTCGGGCTATATCTGAGGCTGCAGACGCATGCGAGAGGAGGACAATTGGGCGATTTCAGGCTGGCCGGGCCTGCATTTGAGGTCGTCGCGATTTTGGTGAAGATGCGAAGCCGAGCTTTTGCGTTCGCCATAGTGGGGGTGGGACAGCCAAACAATTAGCGGCGGGTCGGTCGAATTCGGATCTCAGATGCTCCGTGCTTGCATACCTTATACCGAGAACATTATTTTGCGATATCCGTCCACTATTTGGCCTATGTGATTATCAACCCTGCATGTAATGAGGAGCCCGGCAGTCAATGAGATGTATACTGATTGGCTTGGAGAAAGTTGATTGCATCTTTTCAAGTCTCAGTTCGTAATCCGTATCTATTCCATCGTAAAATCCAACCATGACTCCCAACGACCATCCAAGCATTTGGTGCTTGATTCTATGTTGATTCATCTTGCCGTCTACAGTAACAGGCTGTCTGGTCCTCGTTGTCCTCGACTCGCAGGCAGAGACCCCGTGTCTTTCAAAACTCCTCCCATATCCAAACCCAGGTAGAGAGAGTAAATAGAGCCCTAGAAATAAGGGGTGGGTATCGATCAGACAAATGGTCAACTTATCGATCAAACAAATGGGTATTGGCAAAACATCGAAAAATTCATGTCGATCAGACAAATCCATATCGACCAAGTAAAGGAATCGTCAGTCATGAAAAGGGAAGCAGTACGTCATGCGTAACGCCCAGGAAGAGAGCAGCAGTACGTCATGGCAGTTCATGCACCAACTGCACGCTGAGTATAGGTGGCTTGACCGACGAGAGGTATCCCGTCAGATCGTAGTCGTCGTTCAACACAATGGATTGTCCGCCATTGTGCGTAAACACACCATAGACATTCAGACAAGCCGCGCCGGGAAACCTGTTTGCTACAGCCTGTTGGACCCCTTCGATCGTCTGTGAACTGAGAATGTCCATCCAGAGCGGTATTTCGACTCTATAGATTGACGAGGGGTGTGAGCAGAAGTAGACAGTGGCCTCTCCTGGTGTGGATGTGGAAGATTCATGGGGCAGCATAGGCGCAGATGGCGGCTGAGCGGCGTAAGGCTCCGCTAGCAAGCCCGCGTGCACCACCTCTGCGGGGAAGAGGAGCGGCTGTTCAACTGTCGGGGTTGAAGCATCATCGGAGGTCACCGCGGGAGCAAAAGTCGGCTGAGGAGAAATGGATGGAGGCTGTGGCCGCGGCCAGGTGAAGCCATGGGGATCCAGGGAGACACCAGACAAGTAGTGTGACATGGCGCTGGCGTCAGAACTCAGCATGCCGATGCCGGCATTGTAGGAAGAAGTAAGTGGATCTTCAGGGGCATTGCGAAATGTGTTTGCCGGCACGTGTAGCCCCAGGTCCATCCCAGTAGCACGCAGTTGAGTGCTGCTCGTGCTCAGCAGCGGATTGACGTCGTCGTCCCGTGCCTGCAAGCCATCGGTGTAAGGCTGGGATGTAGCCGTTGGCAAGGCATGTCCCAGGTCCTCCGGACCAGCAGACAAGTGAGAATCCGGCAGCGAGTCGATTCCTTTCGGGGTATTCGCGTGGGATTGCTGTGCCTCCGTGGAAACCTGTTCGGTCTGTTGTTGCTTCCTGGAGTGCCTATCCGGGCGATTATCGCGAAGCCTCTTGAGGATATCCCGAGCCAAGGAATCCAAGGCTTTTGCCTTCTTTGAGCCTTCGCCCTGGCCAGAGCGTATCTCGGTCAAGATTCTGCGGACCGGCGCCGAGCGTTGACCCCACATGCTCTTGAGCTCATCCCATTGCTGAGGCGTAGGCGTAGGCGCAAGCGTGCCGTCGGGCTTGTTGGCGAACCCGAACGCCTCCAGCAGCTCGGTCAAGACGAGTCGCATTTCCCTGGCCTGCTGCGGGTTGATGCGGAGGGCCATCTTGGCTTCCATCTGCGTCATCTTGGACTCTGTGTACCGCTTCGACTTTGCGACGTCTTTGCAGATGGCGTCCAGGGCCACCTGCTTCATCTCCAGCTCGTCGCGGGGCGTGCACAGCTTTTCGTAGAGCATGGGCAGGTCGTGCATCAGGCGGGTCTTTGCCGACTCCCACTTCTCGGGCTCGTCCATCTTCTTGCTGACGTTGAAAGCGGCGCAGACTCTGGTGAAGACGTCACGGAGCGAGCGATAGGCGGCCTTGTCCAGACCCAGCTTTCTTCGGGCATCGTCGAGCGTCATCTCGGAAGGATATCGAGCGGTCGCTCCAGGAATATCCTTCCTGCCTCTCCTGCGCCTCTTCGTGTCCCTGTGCTCGGATGGCTCTGAATCACGGAAATAGAGCGACGACGAGGAAGATGACTGTGCCGAGATGGACCGCGACATTGACTCGCCTCCTCCCTCGGTAAGCAGAGGGAAAGGGACATCTATCGAACCTCCAGAGTCCTCAGTCTCCAGCGGTTGGGGGTGATGATCAAGCCTGGACTTGTCTACATTGGGCCCACGCATCTGCAACCCAATCCTGCCGCGCAGCTTGGCCACGTCTGCCGAAGTCACCTGGAAGCCTTCCTGTCGAAGCACTTGGGTCATGTCTCTCTGCGACAGGTTCATCTCCCACAGCTCCCGGACTCGGGCCACCAGGCTGCCGTCATGCTCATGGCTCTTTGCCTTGGGAGGAAAGTCCCAGCGCCGGAACTGGTCCTGGAAGGCCCGTCGACTGTGTGACAGTTGTTAGCTGCATCACCGCTGGTTTCGTTTGTTTGGGATGTGGCACTACAACACCATAACACTGACGACCTCATCCTTTCGGTCCATATGGCTTGTGTAGCAATGCAATCCACGGGCATACACGTGCCTGGGGAGGGAAGGGGGCGCATTAGCCGTCACAGCACCTACCTTGGGGTGAAGTCGGCGCTGCTCTGCAGATACGCCATGATGCGCTCGAGGGGCCAGCCCTGCTGGATATACAGCCGGAAGCATGTTTCCCGGTGCTCTTCCCAGCGGTAACCCATGGCTTCCGTCGCAGTGCCGCGCTGCTGGGGGAGTGTCGGGGGGGTTACTGGGAAGGATCACGGATGCCCGTCCGGTGTGGAAAGACGATGGCTGCGGTTTTGAGGCTGCCGGGCCCCGCCCATATACGGGCAGTATGAAGTAGAGGCTGGGCTTGACATGGCACTGTGTCACGTGCCTGCAACCTGAGTGTCGTTGAGCATCAGGTTCATCTGTTGAGGATGACTTGGGTCAAGTTTCTGCTGGAGGCTTCAATTCGCATCGATGCAATAATGAGTCAAGGTATGTGAAGGAAACAGTTACGCTTGCTTTCAGACGTTGAGCATGTCTTTCTATTGGCTGCCGTTAGCCGTTGAAGTCTAGCTCTGCTAAGGATCGGAATAGCAGCTGGATTTCGACAAGGGATCCAAGGTCCACTGGTCCTTGTACTTAGGCACGAACACAATTGATGAATGGTTTTACTTCTTCTCTGATGGGATTCTATAGCATGAAACTTCCTCAATTGGTAATCTGATTAGCTTGAGATACCTTCTGACTTCTTGATGACACATGAAGTCAGCTTGTTTGATGCCGAAAGTACCGAGGCTGCCCACGGGCCAAGAAAGCTGCAGTCCGGGGCCGCGGTGGGGCAGCCGAGGTCCAACGGCAACGGCCCAGATCGTCAGCAGTGACACTTCCACTAAAACACCAGCTTCATCTCATGCGTCGCCATCATCATCTCAAACCCTGCACACTCAAGCCCTCAGGCTGAACTCTATACTGATCAGCATCTCATATAAACAGCATCCCCCATCTCCTCAAACTCATCACAAGCTCACTCCATTCAGTCAAACCCGTTCGCCCAAGCCTTAACACCATCAACCCCCATCTCCTCACAACCACAACCTCACGACACCAACAAACAAGCTTCTCCTCGACAACAACAACAACACCGACAATGGCGACAAAAGTCCTCCCCCAAAGCTACAACGCCCTCGCCCTCCCAACCCTCCAGCTCTCCCACCACCCATCCACATCCCCCTCCGTCACCCCCGTCATCATCATCAAGCTCCACCGCCCGCAAGCCCGCAACGCCTTCACCGGCGAAATGGCCACCTCCCTCATCTCCGCCCTCGACACCCTCTCCGCCGACCCCCGCGTCAAGGCCATCGTCCTCACCTCCTCCGACCCGACCAACAAGTTCTTCTGCGCCGGCCTGGACTTTAACGGCGGCGGTGGACCCTCCGGCACCTCCCCCGACTCCCACCGCGACGAGGGCGGCCAGGTCAGCCTCGCCATGTACCGCTGCGCCAAGCCCGTCATCGCCGCCATCAACGGCTCCGCCGTCGGCGTCGGCATCACCATGACCCTCCCCGCCAGCATCCGCGTCGCCTCGCGGGACGCGAAAGTCGGCTTCGTCTTCGCCCGCCGCGGCTTCTGCCTCGAGGCCTGCTCGTCCTTCTTCCTGCCGCGCCTCGTCGGCGCCGCGCGCGCCCTGCACCTCGCCACCACCGGCGCCGTCTACCCGGCCGGCCACCGCCTCTTCGACGGCCTCTTCAGCGACGTCGTCGACGCCGACAAGGTCCTCCCCACCGCGCTGGGCATCGCCGAGGACATCGCCGCCAACGTGAGCCTGGTCTCCGCCGCGGTCATGAAGAACCAGATCTTCCGCGCGCCCGCGTCCCCCGAGGAGGCGCACCTCGTGGAGAGCAAGATGTTCTACTCGCTCGTCCGGAGCAAGGACGCCAAGGAGGGCATCGAGAGCTTCTTGCAGAAGAGGCAGCCTGAGTTTAGGGACACCATTGAGGATGATGCGCCGCCGGGGTATCCCTGGTGGACGCCGGTGGACGTGAGGCCGCCGAAGGCAAAGCTTTGAGGGGGGGGCAATGCTGGAGTTAGTCGAGTTTGGGGAATCAGTACATGAGATAACGATTGAATATACACCGTTTGCCTTTACATGTTGATAACGAAGCCAATTGTGTCAGTTAAGGCTCTTGCTCACATCCACAGCATCAGCCCTTCACCGAGCCTCACCGATCCCACCCCCCCTCTCGCCCACTGCAACCCTCAAACCCCCCCAAAATAGAAAACAGGAACAAATCAAAAACTCCAAAACCAGACCGCGTCCGGATCATCCCCCGCGCCCCTGGTGATCCCCCCCCAACTCAGACCCCATCTCATTCGCGCGACACTCCGGCTAAGTGACATCAACCCGAACCAATCCCAAAAACGAAGCCAGATTTTGAACTCCACCAGGGGGGGCATGAGATCGACTAATAACAAGCAGCAGCACAATTCAAGTGAGAGATAGATTAAACTGTGGATGTAAACTGTGTGACCTCGATCAGTGCTTTGCTTGTAAGGCTCGACAATCGGCCCAATGGCGTTGTTGGGATCTGGTAGAAGTTGCATTGAACTGCATGTGGCGTGAAAGCCCACATACAGGTAAACAGGAAAATGTAAACAGAAAAAGCCACCTCAACATGTCAACAAATGCACGATTACGATGAAAAGAGAGGACCTTCAGAAATGGATTGGCAACTTGTTCGTATTTCTTTTTCACACCGCTGGAAGAATCGCTACAGACAGACGACGGTAACGCTACAGAACCCCTTTCCCTTCCTCTACCCTCCCGCGTATGCAGGCCATCCTCTGTCCCCCCGAAAAAAGCCCACCGCCATCCAAACGTCGCTTTTGCTTTCCAAGAAAGCGATCCGTAAAAAGAAATCTCAAACAAGAAGCCCATCTTCTGGGTATGGCACAGACATTGGGGGATCTTCGTCGCCTTTTCCCCTCCCACTGTCCATCCATCCATACGGGGGTGGTGTGTTCAACTGCAATGTTGCCTGTGTTGAACCTCCCCCCCGTTTCCAATTCTCTTGGTCTTCGCCAAAAAAAAACTCTATTGTCCCCCCCAACAAAAGCACATGTGCCTTTCAAAAATGTGTATTTCCTCCTGTATGCAATTCGTAAAGACCAGACGGGCGGGCGTCAGATGTGTAGAGAGAAAGAAAATTCGTAAGACTCGCATCGAGTGTCGAAGCCAGGAAAAGAAATGAATAAAAGGGTAAAAAAGTGTCAAACATGTCCTCCCGATGCTTGTACTCTTCCGGTTTCCGTAACGCCTCGCAGATTGTGATTCGCGTGAAAAAAGGTGAAAAAATCAAAAGGGTAATAGAGAGAAAAAGAAACGGCATTCCCAGATGTTGCGTGCGCCTGGGGCCTGTTGCTCCCCATCGGTATCATTGGGCCGTGAAAATGAGATAAGAGGTCATGATTATGCAAGATGTCGGCTGAGGCCAGCACCGCGCTCTCGGGAGAGAAAGTTGATGTGATTCGGTGAGTAGTAGAGAATTAGAGGAGGGCGAATGGTGAGAATTATGCACACATACGATGAAGTGTGGCAGATTAATTGAGTCCAGAGGTTGAACAGACTCGTAGGTAATTGAGAGTGAGTGTGTTGTGGTTATGGTGTGACGGCTTCAAATCTTTCGTCGGGCCAGCTTCAGCAGACGGGTTCTCAGCCAGAGCATGAATGCCGTCCAGAGGCTGTTTGTCCTGCGCTTGGCCGACTTGCTTCGGGAGGGAGTCTCCTGCGCCTGGCCGCCGTTGAGCGGGTCAGACTCGGTCTTCTCGCGGACGCTGGACGAGTTCCTCGCGCTGGAGATGGGCGTGGTGTAGCCAAAGCTCGTCTTGCGCTTCTGGGCCTGGGCGCGCTCCATCTTGTGAGCCTCTTTGGCGTCGGCGCGCTCGCGCTTCTTGATCTGCTCGCGGGCGTACTTCTCCTCCTTCTCCTTCTCCTTGGCCTCGAACTTGCGGCGGGCCTCGCGGACCTGCTCCTGGCGGGTGGACGAGTCCATCTCGCTGCGCGAGCGGAGGCGGAAGCCGTTCATGTCTAGAGACGTGCGGAACGGGGATATGGGAGAGGTGGAGGTGACCGGGTTGGATGCTGTCTTCTGCTGCGTGGTGGAGATGAGCAAGGGCACAGAGGCGGCATTCGCAGATGAGGAGTCGTTTGCAAACGCAGATGTGTGATTCACAGCAGCGGCCTGGGTGAGACGTTGTACAGAAGGACCAGAGTTGGAGCGAGTGGTGGCCGCCCTGACAGAAGGGCCATCTGAGCTGGTGCGCTGGCTGCCGGAAAGCGAGGGCCGCCCGGATAGCGAGTGGCGGCCAGGAGGCGCCGTAGGTTTGGAGCTGGGCGAGTTTGAGCGTAGGCTGGAGGAGTAGGAGAGCTTCTTGGAGGTGGTGTTTGCGGCGGAAGCGGCGCGGTTGGGACCCTCGGACTGCGAGGGCGATGCCAGCGGCTCGTCGAGGTCGGGCCTGTCGTCGTCGCTGCCGCTGCTGCTGTCGCTGGTCTCGGCAATGGCCGAGGTCAGGTCGCGCTGCTGCTGGCCGGTGAGGCCGCCTTCGAGCGAGGAGAGGGAGTTTGCGTACGAGTGCAGCGGCGGCGTCGAGGTCCGGGGCATCTGCTGGAAGGGGTGGACGAAGGAGCCGGCGCGGGTGGTGGCGGCGGCGGCGGCCGTGACAGAGTTGCCGCTGGTCGAGCGGGCGTGGGAGGTTGGGGAGAAGGAGAAGGTGTTTGCGCGGGCCAGGCCAGGCGGCGTGGGCTTGAGGTCCGTCTTGGACAGGCTGGTGAAGCTGACGTCGCGGGCCAGCTTTGCGCCGGCGGCTGGCGCAGCTGCGTAGGTGGAATACAGGCGGCGGTCGGTGCTCAGGTCGTCGAGGTCGCGGGCGCCAAAGTCGAAGGAGCCGTACTCGAGCTCGGGCGTCGTGGCCACGGGCTGGTCGTCCCAGCCGCGGTTGAGGTCCAGCGAGTTGCGCTCCGAGTGGGAGTGGACGTGGTGCAGCCGCTTGAGGATGGGCTTGACGACGATGCGGCTGCGCGACTTGGTGAGCTTGCCGGCGCCGCTCAGGCCCGACGGCTGCGTCTGTAATGAAGCCATGGCCGCGGGGCAAGATGTGTGTGTATGTGTGTGTTGTTGAGGGTTGAAGCCGGAGGGAGAGAGAAAAAGAGAGAGAGAGAGAGAGAGAGAGAGAGAGAACAGCCAGCCAGAGGAGCAAACGAGAAGCCTCAAGGCAGAGCTGGGTACATGTACGACGAGGTAGTACGACGAGGACGATGAGAGCGGTTTCGACGATGCTTCCGCCTGGCTTCTTGTTTTAAGTTTCGGATTCCAAGCAGCACCCCTGTGCTCGTTTCGTCCGGATACGCAGTGGCTAGCATCTAATATTACCTACACCGACTGCAAGCCATCGTTGCCGTGGTTCCTGGGACTGCAGCTGGTGAACGAGTTACACGGCGACCGACTGCGAGGCTCCACCAAGCGTCTGCATTGGGCTCCCGGAAACGCACCCCAAAGGACCCAAACGATGCAAGAGAATGGACAAGAACAAGGCCTTGCTTCTGGTCCGGGGGGGGAGAGAGTGGGAAAAAAAGGAGGAAAACGGGGCCCGGACAAGGGAAAGGGGGGAGGTTATGAGAGGAGACGGTTTAGCAGCAGAGATGGCGATGGGCCAGAGGTGAGGCCGAGGATGGGCGGTGGTCCGGGGGGGCAAGGCAGGCCCTCTAAATGGCCCTGGACAGGCACCGGCGCAGGCTGGATGCGGCGTGCTGGAGGGGTTTGGCGGTATGGCCCGGGAGCCGGTAGGGGTCAGCCAGAGGCCCGGCTAGCGCTGGCCGGGGTCTGATTGCGCTCCAGCTGCGCTTGCGGCCAAGGCGGTGTTGGTTCCATTACTATCTGGATCAGGATCAGGCCAAAGCAGTGGTGGCGAACGGGCAGACTGGAGTCAAAGTCGGATGTTGCAGACAGACGGTCCGTTGATAGTACTCGGACTATAGCTGAACAGCTCAGACAACAAGAGAAGCGAGCGCGGAGGGGCTGGCGTCGGAAACGGACGTGGCTTGGCCGCTGGCATCCATCCCTTTGGCTCTGACACCAGCACTCAATCAATGAATGGCACTGGCAGTCGGCCAGATTCCTGCTGCAGCCGCCAAAACGGTTGCGCCGGCTACCGTTTCTGGCGTGCGAGTTTCTTCGATTCTCTCGTTGTATTCTGATGGACTCGTCATTAATTAACCCACGATCCTTCGCCCGGCCACAAGCCTCAGCATCGAAGCGTCATCCGCTCCTCCATCCACGTCAAAGTGCCGCTGCTCCCCCAGACCCAGCCTCGGGGCAATCAATCAATCAATCAATCAATCAATCAAACTATCGATCAGTCAACCCAAGCGATCACCGCCCTCATCAGCAACCTAAATCGCTCTCTCTCTCTCTCTCTCTCTCTCTGACCCTCGGCGGGATGCGTGGCACGTGGACGCGACACAAAGCGGCGACGGAGCCTTCGACAGCGTTTCCAGACGTTCCGCCCGCCCATCACAACCCTTGCAACGTCGATGGGCTGTGGGGAGTGGCAGGGGGGGGGCCCATGGACGCTATTTCCATTCAGCGAAATTGAATGCTCCTCCGTAACGCATGTACCTCTCGCAGCTTGCTTGCGCCGGTGGTGTACATTCAATGTTCTGTCCTATCAAACCCCCGGCCGGCTCCTGTGAAATTGCCCGTACTCTCATCTACCATTGGCGAGGCCGGCCGTGCGAGTACTTCCTGTAACGAAAGGATATTACGAGTTGCTGCTCCTTATGAGGAGTACGACAAGTACAAGTAGAGCCAAGAGGAACCAAAAAAAGCCCGCGGGCAGCTGTTTGCGTCCGAAAGGCAAGTCGAAATTACCGCAGCCTGAGGTAATGGCTGAGACAACTTTTTTGCCCTGTCCTGCCAAAAGCAACAGGCCGAGTTGAGGTCAGAATGTCTTACAACTACACGAGGACCGCAAGATTACATGTACATGTGCTGTAGTATTCCCCCCCTCTGCTGCCTCTTCACCGCAAGCTCCTCCGATGGCGTCCCGTGAGTTGGCGGCATGGCTTGCTTGCCGCATGTCCCTTTGTGAAGTACTACCGCCCTTTCCATACTCCGTCTCTTCTCGTCGTTTCTTTTTTCTGCCCCTCTACATGTATGCAGTTATAATTGAACAGCGCAAAAGAGCGCGGGTCAGGAAAGGCGGTCATGAATGAACCTGAACAACCCCCCCTTGCTCTGCTGTGGCGGATTTGATGCAGCTGCGGAGCCCCGAACCATGTACTTGGTACCCTCCCAGACGCGACCGGGGCAGCGCGGAATGCGTGGCCGCCGCGACTCCGGACTCCGTACTCGGTACTTGGTCGAGGGTCCATTCCCCGTTTGTTGACGGGTCGAGTTATTGATTTCAATTGATTGCGGTGATATCGATAGTAGTAAGACGATGCGACGTTGCCGTGCTGCGCCTCTCGTTGGCCAGCACTCGTACAAAGAGTAACGAAATTACGGAGTTGGAGAAATGAGGTTGGGAGGGCCAGAGATTGAAATGAACTCATCCCGCTTCCCCGTTGCCACTATCATTACGGAGCACCCCCAAGCTATTTAATGAGAGGGACTCGACGCCCACTCGCTGCGCATGTGAGAAGCGCTTGCAAGAGATGCATCGCGAGAAGCCCTCAATTCTGACCGTTTCCATCCATTACTGTTGGTCGCTGCTGTTATACGGTACTACCACCACTACTACTGCTACTTGAGTGAGTCAGTCCGCAGCATTCAATACCCTCCTCATACACACTTCTACAGTACCATCAAAAAAACCCGCAGCTGCAAGCAAAACACTGCCCAGATGCAACGCATGTCATGACGCGGTGGACAATGCAACAAGGTACATAGGAGGAGCCTGTAGGTATGTGCGGTATGCACGTATGTACGTATGTACGGAGTACAGGTGATTTCGTACCTACTGCCGCTGCTGCTGCCGCTGTGAGGAGGTCAACAAGCTCGACTTTGCGCCGTGCTTTTTCTGGAATCCACAGACAGACAGCGGGAGAAACCCCCCCCCCTTGTTGGCCTGAGCTGCTTCGTCTCCGCTTGCGCTGCGTGCTTTTCTGGCGTCGTCCCTTTCCCGCCTCCCGCCTCCCGCGTTCCCTATTGTCTACAGGCCCAGTCGGTGGCTCCCGTATGAGCTACAGGCAGTAGTACTACGAGTACTAGCAGCAGCAGCAGCGGTGCCGGTGTAGCGAAAGAGGTGGATGCAGCTCCCGGGGCACAAGGCATGACCGATCGCCAGTTACGCGCTGATATCGGAGGGCTTGGCGAACGGAGGGGGACGAAGCTGGAGACGAGGTGAGAGAGATGGCTATTATCACTGTGACAAGCAGCTGGGATTCACATGGTGCCTGTAAACTCCAAGACATGGCACTCACCACTACTAATAACGCAAGGAGGGTGATACTATGCCTTGTCTCAGTCGAAAACGTCCCGAAGCATCACCGTTTCATGCCCACTGCCGAACCGCCCCCCGGAAGCGCGGGCGGGACGCAGCAAATAGTATGTACCTTACTACAGTAAGTCCGGATTCGCCAGAAAGCCTCAAGTCCAACTTCTTCTTCTTCTTCTTCTTCTTCTCTCTTTCTGGCGGTAAATGATCTGCATAGGACAAGGGAATAAGCTAAGGGACCCAGCAGGACGCGCTGATGATGAGCTGTTCCCATGTCACTCCTCTTGCTTGTGCTTGTGCTTGCGCTGTGCCTGTTCCTGGATCGTGAGCAGGCATGGGACGAGCGGCGCATGCAGCCAGCATCTGCCACCGCCTTTCCATCCCTTGCCTGCTGCAGCGCTTCCCGCTCTGTGGAGGTTGCGGTGCTTCTTTTCGTACTTTGTACCTCCATACCGCCATACTGCCGCCGTGGGCGTTGTCTGCTGTTTGTATGGGGATGGAGCTGCTGCTGCTGCTGGCTGTGATGATAAAAGCGGCGGGGACTGGCCAAGGGCAGAAATCAAGGCAGAGAGGGAGAAAGAGAGAGAGGAATACCTGGTAACCTTCGATTACTAAGGCCAGTACTACTGTGTGTCTGAACGAAAAGGGCATCTCCTTTCTGCCCACTTCTGGTCGTGCATATCGTAGTCGAAGCTGCATGTGTTGTTGTTCCGTGAAAGGCGGTGGAAGAACAACAACTGGAGCTCGTCACGATACAGACAGAAGAAACCACATGATAGGTAGCCACAGTTCAGTTGTGAGCCAATTGCATGTGCTCTTTTCGTACGAGTGATTACAACGCAACCCGTCCACACAATCGTACGAAAAGGCCCTTCGTATCGCATGCCAATAACGGCGGCTGCAAAACGCCCGAGTGACATACCGCTGCAACTACAGAAGACTCGAATTTGAGCCGAGCGGAACTCGTCTATTATACTGGATACTACAAGTTCCCAGCCCTTGTCGTGTCGTGATCACTATCATATGGCAAAAAAAAAAGAAAGCAATAGTTCAGCTTACGAGCGCTTTCTCTCTGGATGCATCTTTCATATGTGCTGCAACACCGAGAGGGACAGAAAACGGCAGCTGGAAAATCCCCCGCTTTGCTCGCCCATCCCCCGCCTCTCGACTTTTTTGTCTGTGTGTTTTGATCCGTTTTCCCCTCTGTGTTATTCAGCCCTTTCCTCGCTCTCTTGCTCTCATGGTGAGGTACGAGTATCTTCCCTCAACTCCCGAGTGTCCAGTCTCTCACGGCTGCCTCGCTTCGCCATCTCCGGCCCCCCATATCTCTCTCAATCAAAATCCCCATCTGCCCAACCTCGGTCCCCAAATGTATCATAGCACCACCACCAGGAAATCACGCTATCCCGCGCTATTCCTCCGGGGAACTCATGGTAGCGTCGCCTACAAACGTACTAAACTAACCTCCATCCAACATGCAAACCAAACCGGTTGCTTGTGCTTGTGTATGTGTATGTGCTCGTGCCACCGTTCCGTCCGTTACAGACAGATGAGACGTTGGAGACGACCGACCCGCTCCCGCCGTCAGATCGAATCAAGCAATCAGACAAACAGGGCAAAAAAGAAACCAAAAAGACTCAAACTT